TGGTGTGTTCTCGGTCGATTCGGCATGGAGTGTCTTGCTCGAATTAGCGAAAGGTGAGTTAACAGATGGCTGGCAAAAGGTTCTTTTCCATATAGGGTAACTAGAGATTCTTCAACCAACACTCATGGAGTTCTTTATGCCAGAATAATTCAAAATTAGAATTCTTATAGGGGAATACGTTTTCATTTTAAAATGATGACTCTCCTCATGTGTCTACTTATGGTCTTGCCAGGGATAGATAGTTATTTCGACAGTCATAAAAACCATAGTAGTTGGCTCGAGCAATTGCACAAAGCTGATCTTGAACATGGTATTTGCGTCTCGTCATCAGACAGAGCCCATGTACCAATTCATCCGACCTTGCCTCCGATATGATTGATTATAGCTGACGGCTTGCCCTCATCCGTGTTCCTGCAGTTCCGGTCGTCGTGGCGAGAAAGTTTGCATTGTGGAGTGATAGCACGGCGCTGGTGCCAGGCACCGATTGAGACGGTGACACTCTGACTGGTAATCCCACACGTGGCTCATTGTGGAGGAATGTTTATCCCAACCGCCTCTGCTGTTTTGGACGTCGTATATTGTGAATGTGTAGGTAAACCTGGCCTGCTCGTCCCGGCCGACGTTCCCCGTCCATCTATACGGATCACCCTCGTGTGATGGTGTGAATCTATATACCAAGAATATCTAAATGAAAACGAAAACAACGGAATGGGACAAAATATTCAGTATTATACCAGGAATATAAACGACAGAAACATTCAGGAAATCTCCCACTATATTCCAATTCCGCAGCTATTTTAGCCGCGTGGGTGGAAAATCGATGTAGGGTAGGTGGCAATATTAACGGTCGCCAAGCGTTCTGCCGGACCGAAACGGGCCGTCAGATGACCCCACTATGCACCACCGCCGAAGGCTCTGGCGGGGCATAGACGTCTGAAAACTCCAGATTGAAGCTGAATAGCTAGTAGCCTAAGCTCGAAAGCAACGTCTCCCGCTCCAAATCGCACGTGGACCAACAATATACAGGATGGAAGCCGATATTAGAGCTGTGCTTCCAAACATCGATCCTGTGGTCTCAGACTACTCCGTCGGTTATCTGACGCACGCTTCAACAGCCTGGACCGACGATGAAGAGACCTCTGGTCTGTCACCTCTTAGCGAAGCTGCCGCCGCCATTACCGAACTACTTCTCTCCGCTTCCGGCGATTTTAATCCATCCGTCGAGGAAAAGGTCAAGCAGCTCGTGGAGAAATGGGTCGACAAGTACGCCGAAGCAAATGGGGGTCAGCGCATAGGACCTTCCATAGCCAAGCGCTTAGATCAGACCATCCAAGTTAGCACACAGCGTAACATGTCGTCAACGTTGGCCGTGGCCACTGGCGGTGTTGATCTAGAGCAGGCCAATGCCAGAAAAGTCGAATCGAAGGTCGATCGGAAGAAGCTCGAAAAGGCGGAGCGCAAGATTGCTGCCAAGCAACAGAAGAAGACGTTCAAGGTTGTAGAGTATGAGGCATCAAGACTGTTGGACCTGCCGGAGAATACGCAGTCGTACGAAGAGTTCTACATGGCCGTCAACCCTCTTCAAATTGGCAGCTCCGGCGCAAACAAGACCAAGGACGTCAAACTGGACAATATTGATGTGTCGATTGGCGGCAATAGGATTCTTACGGATACTACTCTTACCCTTGCCTATGGTCATCGTTATGGTTTGGTTGGTAATAACGGTGTGGGTAAATCTACCCTTTTGCGGGCTCTGTCAAGGAGAGAGGTCGCCATTCCCACGCACATATCCATTCTACACGTGGAGCAAGAAGTAAGTCTGACTAACCGTACTTGAGCTTTGAGAAACACAAAGCATGCTAATCGACTGTACAGATTACTGGAGACGATACACCTGCCCTGCAAGCAGTTCTTGACGCTGATGTCTGGCGGAAAGTTCTCCTGAGAGAACAGGAGGTATGTACCCAGCTCTAGTTCAAAAGATGTACCGTCCAGCGGCTAATACATCGTGTAGGAACTCACTGCTAGCTTGGCTGAGCTGGAGGCTCGGCGAGCGCCCCTTGCTGACACGTCCGCCGATGCTGCCAAGCTCGATCGCGAAAAGGAAGCCAAGGATAGCAAACTGGGAGATATCCAGTCCAAATTGGCCGAGATGGAATCTGACAAAGCAGAATCTCGAGCAGCCAGTATTCTAGCAGGTCTTGGCTTCTCTCCCGAGAGGCAACAATACGCCACCAAGACGTTCTCTGGCGGTTGGCGAATGCGTCTCGCGCTCGCCCGTGCCCTGTTTTGCGAGCCTGATCTGCTGTTGCTCGACGAACCGTCCAACATGTTGGACGTTCCCTCCATTACTTTCCTCTCTAACTACCTGCAAGGCTATCCCAGCACTGTTCTTGTTGTTTCCCACGACAGAGCATTCCTGAACGAGGTTGCGACCGATATTATTCACCAGCATTCTGAGCGACTCGACTACTACCGTGGCGCAAATTTCGACTCCTTTTACGCCACCCGCGAGGAGCGAAAGAAGGTTGCCAAGAAGGAGTACGAGAACCAAATGGCGCAGAGAGCTCACCTCCAGGCATTCATTGACAAATTCCGTTATAATGCTGCCAAATCATCCGAAGCTCAGTCTCGGATTAAAAAGCTGGAAAAGATGCCTGTCCTCACCCCGCCAGAGTCAGAATACAGTGTAAAGTTCACCTTTCCCGACGTGGAGAAGCTGTCGCCGCCCATTATCCAGATGTCCGAGGTCGACTTTGGATATACAAAGGACAAACCTCTGTTACGAAACGTGGATCTGGATGTTCAGCTAGATTCCCGCATTGGCATTGTAGGTCCCAACGGAGCCGGTAAGACGACTGTTCTGAAGCTTCTTATTGGCAAATTGGAAGTGTCCAAGGGTATAGTAACATCTCACCCACGTCTACGTATCGGATTTTTCGCGCAGCACCATGTGGACGCTCTCGACTTGTCACTTAGTGCCGTCAGCTTCATGTCAAAAACGTATCCCGGAAAAACGGACGAGGAATATCGAAGACAGCTGGGAGCCTTTGGCATCACCGGCACCACAGGCTTACAAAAGATGGCTCTACTGTCTGGAGGACAGAAGTCAAGGGTGGCATTTGCCTGCCTGGCCCTCACCAATCCCCACATCCTCGTACTCGACGAGCCTTCTAACCACCTTGATATCGAAGCTATGGATGCCCTTGCGGAAGCCTTGCAGGCTTTCCAGGGAGGTGTACTCATGGTATCTCACGACGTCACCATGTTGCAGATGGTGTGTACGTCACTGTGGGTGTGTGACAAGGGAACCGTCGAGAAGTTTGATGGCGATGTGCAGGCGTACAAGAAGAAGATTTCGGCTCAGGCGGACGCGGCTGGTGTTGTTAAGGCTCATTAGACCAAAAATTTAATCTTAGCTACTGGGGATAATGAGAATAATGAGAATCCATTCATTGGTTTGCAGGCTGTCAGAAGTGTCGACGTGGCGGCCAGCTCACCTGATGATGGTTATCCTGGCGTTGCCCCATCATGACTTTGTTTGGCGAGGCAGAAGACGGAGGGAGAATCAGAAGAACGGGCCCCTTGTATAAACCGGCGCCGACACTCCTCAGCACAGTGAGCAAGATGTGTACGACACACGACACTCAGGGAACAGACTTGTCTGAGTGCCGTCGTAAACTGGGGCAGAGGTATCCGAAGTTTGCAGGGAAAAATATTCCAGTCGTTCATTTCTCGTGGATCTATTATGCTTGTCGAACGACAACGCCGCGAATGGGAATACGGTCACGAGCCTTTGACAAATCTCTCTATTCACTGCAGCCAGATTGCATTCGGCGATGCAGTCATCACAGATGCCCAACCAAGCCCGCGATAACCTGAATAATGAGCCTGATAGACCTCTGCCCTACGTTTAGATGAAAATAGAAGCGGCAGGGCTCATGCGCAATCTCCCCTGTCTTGTCATTCAGCCAACTGCAGCAAGAATTATACGTGGCAAGACCATTGTTATAGTGACCCAGAGTATGGGACGATAAGGTAGGGAATCTGGAAGGAAGTCAACTACTATGTTAAGCTGGCAGAGCCTCGGGGCACGTGAAATGATTATTTACTAATTTAGAGATGAGGCTTGACAGACTTGTTGATTGTACTGTAGATGCTAGCCCGCTGACCACCTCAATGCGAAGCGTGTGGTTTCTGAATGAATTCTTTGTCCAACCGCGTATACCACTGCTGGCGCTTTAGTTTTGCAGCTCGTGCAGATCAGAATGGAGTGTGTTGAGATTTCTCATGCTATCTACTAGGTAAGTACCTAGGTAGATGACGACTAGGCTGCCGCACAGCACAATTGTTTGGACAGCTCAGACAAAGTGAAAGACTGTTGACTTCCCATATAAAGAGTGGAATCATGCGAAGACGTACAGAGTTATAATACTGCAATTACCGCCTATGATGGACTAGGAAGCTACAAGTAACTACGCGAGGAGCTGTGGACTAGGGAAAAGCCTTTAAAGACGATGTGGCCAAAGCATATCAAGGAGCTTATCGCCAGCGTAGCGGAGAATCGCCCAAGGAGAAAGCCAAGCCTGCAATTGTCCATCACTAAGAGGAAAGGACACTGTTGCAAGCGATTCCATGCATTCCAGCACTGAACTGGTGGACCAGGAGCTGACCGATTGCAAGGTTCGAGGCATTGGCCCAGTGGCCTTCCGTGCTTCTCGTCGTAAAATACGTTCCCTACAGGCACGAACACTTGTTCAACGATTGAACCCGATAAGCGTCGTGATAACCGCTCACCAAGTATAGCACTAGATCATACCCTTCATGAATGGTTTGATCAGAACTACCAGACCGTTTGTCGGGTTGCCGTCTGTACTTACCAGCTGACGCCATCCAATAAACATCTACTCTTTGGAGGGCGGCTCGTGATGTAGAATCCCATATACCGCCGCAAGTAGTTACGAGTTTGTATGTAAATCGTTTCAAATTCTACTCTATATTCATCGGGGATGAATCCACTCATGTTGCAGCAGTTCTGCTGCAGACTTTCGAGACCCTGGATCGATTGTTAGCATGCCCTTAATGAAGTCAGTAAATATATCGACTTCATGATCGGGCATATCCTCGGGCTTCAGAAACGGCTTTGATGTGCCGTTTAGCAAGCGTTCAAGGCTCGTAGATTTCAAGTTCGGAATACGGAGAAGACTTCCTACAGGCAAAGCGTATTAGATAGGCAACCTATCGATACTAGAAGGGGAATATATCTTGGGGATCAAAAAAATGCGTTGCCCGACTTCCCTGTCTCATGACAGGAAGTGGGAAGGGGCCAAGTATCTCGACAATTCTTGCTAAATGGTCATCTTCAGCCGTCCATGTCCCCTTTGCTGAACCCTCACTGGAGAAGAGAACTATTCCTTGGATAAACTCCACAATCTGGCAATTAAATGTCAGAATAGTTCGTATGATGCACAAAATAGTAAACCACTCTTACAAGACATCCGAGACTCCATATGTCAACACCAGTATCCCAGGGGGCGCCGATAGTTACTTCTGGTGCCCTTAAAGCCGGTGACTGGATCAGGTCTGACAGATGCTTTTCTCTCCAAGACGCTATGACACGGAAGTTTCATATTGTGATGCCTGGGAACGTAGTATACTTACCGACGCCAAAATCAATAATTCTGACATGAGGATGCTTTATTTCGGAAATTGGCGGTGTCGTGATAACCTCACGAAGCGGAGCACCACGTTGGGGATCGGCCATCCGCGGGGGAACTACCGATAGATACTTGGCAATGGCATTGTTCGGGCTTTCCAACTCTAACAGTATATTTGTTGGTTTTAGATCTATTCAAGACAAGGGGATATTAGCAATGCACAGAAAAACGCGGATATCCACACGATATGTTACGTCATACCAGTATGAATAATACCACACTCTCTGTGAAGGAAATCAAGTCCTAGCAGTAGCTGTTTTGCAATTAACTTCACGGTTTTAACAGGTAATCTTCCGTCCTCGTATTTCACCGTTTGGAAACCCAGATGGTGTCCTAATACGTCGAACACGAGGCAAACATGTTCGCCGTTGGGGCCCTTATGCTTGAACTTGCTGAGGAGATGCGACACATGAGCGCGGCCTTCATGAGAACTCTGCCTAGACACTTCACAGATTTTGGAGAGAATCTCCGTCTCGAAAATATCATGGGTGCCACCATAACAGTCAGCTCTCAACATCTTGAGTGCTACATATCTTCGGCATCTACCTCCAGTCAGCTTCGAGTACAATAGCAATGGACGACATACTTTAAATCTCTAGCTAGCCAAACTGTAGAGTATTGCCCATAACCCAATTTCCTCAGGATAGTATACTGGTCATGGTGAAATGTATCCCCAAGGGAGATAGGATGAAACCCGCCAGGTTCGTAATAATCCGGTTCTTCCACGGCTAGACTCGGTTGCACGAACGATTTGAGCTGAGACCGTGGGACAAGTAGCTTCGAAATACGAGACTGTGTTTCTTTTAAACATGCCTTGATTAAATTCATCGCGCAAAAGATCGCTGTAACATGGTGGTACTATAAAAATGTTACGTCAGAGTGAATTCCGGGAAGGGTGAGATTTTGTGTGGAGAAAAGGGGGTTCACGTGACGCCAACTTACCGAAACCAAGTTGCAAGCGAACCCTTCGATTAGTACTTGAACAGAGTAACCAGAGTTTCCGGGGATTTCTTTGGACAGTGAGATCATCTAGCAGCTTGATACTCCGGTCAACGACATTACCCTACGCTCACAGTGTGCCTAATTTGCAAGACGACAGGCTTTCAGCCACATATAAGGTGACCCATCACTTTCTCAGTGTGGCGGTGGAAGTTGGATCCAGAGTGGGGGGTCAACCTGGTCAACCTCATCAATTGATCTAATCTCCCACGAGCTGCTCCGTCCATTCTCTGTAGTACTACTACGTACTCTCCATTCGATTGGACCCATTCTGGTACCCTGCCAGCTTTCGGAGACTGGATATTGTTCCAATCAATACGGAGTAGTATGACGTTGAAGGGGGTTCATTAGACGTCGTATTTTCACCCAAAAGTGTAGGCTTGGAGGTGCCGCCTCAACCTCTGCAAATAGTCAAGTTACTAGAGCCACTCACAGCAAGGTGCCTGACTTGCCGCCTTGCCCCTTTTGGGGACGCACAGACCATGCGTGTAAACAAGCGAAAGTGAAGGCGGGGCAGGTACTTCCCTGGGCTGCTGCACTTGCCTCCCCAGCCAGGGGTCTACCACCAGGTATGGCGGTGAACCACATCTCCAACAAAAATCAACACCTCCGCGACTTCTTCTCCCTTGCTCCCCTACACCAACCCGTTACGGATCGTGAAGCTCTGCCTAGCTATCGTGATTCTTCCATCAACCTCACTCTTCACCCGAATTTCCTGTCGTCGACGATAATCCGCCAACATGCGTGAGATTGTGAGTCCCCCCTCCATTGTCTAGGACCCCTCCTCGACGCGTTCCATGGTCGTGCCCCTGATTTTGGTACCCCGCTGTATGAGGAGGCCACGTCCATATACGCACGCCCAACGGATCATCAGGACGAGGCAAAACGCGCTGCATCATCATAATGAACATTGGCTGACGATTTATTTCCTTTTGATCTTACACAGGTTCACCTTCAGACCGGTCAGTGCGTAAGTAAACAAATTCGCCGCTATTTTCGAATGAATTGTTACGGAGATCGGGAGCTTACAATATTTCGACAGGGTAACCAAATTGGTGCTGCTTTCTGGCAGACCATCTCTGGTGAACACGGCCTCGACAGCAATGGTGTCTACAACGGTACCTCTGAGCTCCAGCTCGAGCGTATGAGCGTCTACTTCAATGAGGTAAGTTTGAATGAGCCGAATCCTAGGATGTTGAGGAACCATAGGTTGTTATCAAGGGGAAGATCAAAGACTGACGCGGGGATTCCCCTCAAAAGGCCTCCGGTAACAAGTATGTTCCTCGCGCCGTCCTTGTCGATCTTGAACCTGGCACCATGGATGCCGTCCGTGCCGGTCCTTTCGGTCAGCTTTTCCGTCCCGACAACTTCGTCTTTGGTCAGTCTGGTGCTGGCAACAACTGGGCCAAGGGTCACTACACTGAAGGTGCTGAGCTTGTCGACAATGTCCTTGATGTTGTCCGTCGCGAGGCGGAAGGTTGTGACTGCCTCCAGGGCTTCCAGATCACCCACTCTCTCGGTGGTGGTACCGGTGCTGGTATGGGTACTCTGTTGATCTCCAAGATCCGTGAAGAGTTTCCCGACCGAATGATGGCCACTTTCTCCGTCGTTCCCTCTCCCAAGGTTTCCGACACCGTTGTCGAGCCCTACAACGCAACCCTCTCCGTCCATCAGCTCGTTGAGAACTCTGACGAGACTTTCTGCATCGACAATGAGGCTCTGTACGACATCTGCATGCGCACTCTCAAGCTGTCTAACCCTTCGTACGGTGACCTGAACTATCTTGTCTCTGCCGTCATGTCTGGCGTCACCACATGCTTGCGTTTCCCCGGTCAGTTGAACTCTGATCTGCGTAAGCTGGCTGTCAACATGGTCCCCTTCCCTCGTCTGCACTTCTTCATGGTCGGCTTCGCCCCCCTGACCAGCCGGGGTGCTCACTCTTTCCGCGCTGTCAGCGTACCTGAGCTCACCCAGCAGATGTTCGACCCTAAGAACATGATGGCCGCTTCTGACTTCCGAAACGGCCGCTACCTGACCTGCTCTGCCATCTTGTAAGTCCCGTCAATGATGTGCATACTATACGAGGTCATTGTACTAATTTCCGTTCCAGCCGTGGCAAGGTCGCTATGAAGGAGGTTGAGGACCAGATGCGTAACGTGCAGAACAAGAACTCCTCCTACTTCGTCGAATGGATCCCCAACAATATCCAGACCGCCCTCTGCGCCATCCCCCCCCGTGGCCTCAAGATGTCTTCTACTTTTATTGGTAACTCCACCTCCATCCAGGAGCTTTTCAAGCGTGTTGGTGAGCAGTTCACTGCCATGTTCCGTCGCAAAGCTTTCTTGCATTGGTACACTGGTGAGGGTATGGACGAGATGGAGTTCACTGAGGCTGAGTCTAATATGAACGATCTTGTCTCTGAATACCAGCAATACCAGGATGCTGGTGTTGATGAGGAGGAAGAGGAGTATGATGAAGAAGCTCCTGTTGAAGAACCTTTGGAGTAAGAGACTCTACGACAAGCTATTTGTATTCAGCCAGAATGTCCGACTTGAATGTGGGCGGCGTGAGTTGGTCAAAGTTTACTTCGCGCTATGGAAGTAGTTGTAACCAGAGGAGGTTGCTAGATACCTTTTATTATTATTATTATTGAGCGTTGGTGCCACTCTTGTAGCATTGTACGCTGAGAATTGACCAAGTTGTTGAGTAAATATTACTTTGAAATTTACTCGTATATAAAAAGAACTAGTATATTTGCAGTGCCAGTAAATGCAATGTTGGTACAGCTGTGCATGGCACCTAATTCTGCTGTCAACGAGTGGTACACGTGATGGGATGACTAAGCGACCAAAAAGTTCACCTGCACCCAAAGCTGACGAGGAATCAGTGGCTGTCCATGCAATCTCCCATCCATTGCCACGGCAAAGACAAATCTCAATGGCCTCAAGGTTTGTCCCTGCCAAGGGAAAGGCATTGGGCCATGCGCTGCGCATGAATCCGCAGGTAGCGCTGCCGGGATTCCTGTTGCCAGCGTGGCAAACGTCTGCGCAACGGCACTTCTCGACGACGACGAAACGACCCTCGAAGCTTGGGCGAACGCTGATTTCTATCCCTCCCGGCGTGGAGCTTTCCATGAGCGATTTGAAGACATCCAAAGTTGCGACCTCATACAAGCCTACCGTTAAGAAGACAATTACAGTAAAGGGACCGTTGGGTGAGCTCAAGTTCCTTTCTCATGGCCGCGCTTCATAAACCGACTGGTGGTGCCAAGTGAGAACTGTTGGAAGCATTTGAGCTAACATGACTTGGGGAATAGGATCGCTGGAGCTTGATGTTCCTGAATTTGTGACTTTGCAGCAGGATTTGGAGAACAAGACAGTCTTACTGGGCGTTGAGGATGCAAACGTCAAGCATCAAAAGGAGATGTGGGGTATGTCGTGACCTCTGCCCGTCAGAATTTTGCAAACACCATCGCGCGGACAAGTCAAGGTAGAGTTTTGCTAACAATTGGTCTACGCAGGCACGTCGTGGTCCTACCTGACCAACTACGTAATGGGGGTGTCCGAGGGCCACACGGCCATCCTACGCCTGGTGGGCGTGGGCTACCGAGCGAGCGTCGAGCGCCGCGGCGCCAAGGAGCAATACCCGGGCCAGAAGTTCCTCTGTCTGAAGCTGGGCTTCACGCACCCTGTCGAGGAGGGCATTCCGCAGGGCGTCACGGTGACGACGCCCTCGCCGACGAGAATCCTGCTGGAGGGTACGGATCGCGAGGTGATCATGTCGTTTGCGGGGAGGGTGAGGCAGTGGCGGCCGCCGGAGCCGTACAAGGGCAAGGGGGTGTTTATCAACGACCAGACTATCAAGTTGAAGCAGAAGAAGATCAAGTAAAGATTCACAGGTAGAATGTTGGGGGAGGAAATTGGCCATGGCGGACCATGGCGTGTATTTGAACCCGTCAAGTATAAGTGTACTACTAGTTGCGAAATTTATGAAATTCTCATATAGAGCATTTATAACTGATATTCTTGATCCTTGATCCAAGCCGGGACGTCGCGATGCCGATGTGGCCGATGGCAGGACGACCTCGAGGATGATGTGACGAATTACTTTGGATAGCTGGTGATGCACAACTAACTTCTCCAGTGTATAACAACCTAAATCAGTCAATTTAAAAAAAATAAAAATTAAGGAAGCAATTTATGAATAGATCCTCAAGTGGGCAATTGCAGTTTATAATAATAGTCTTTACTTGAGGTGTCGAATAAGCCGTTATACATAGTTCAGAACTGCGCCGCCTGGTTGGCAGGCACGACACGACATGCAGTAACCATCCTCCATGCAAGCCCCACGCCGACATCCCGAGCCAATCAAAACCAGCTCTCAATCCCGTTCGCAGTACCGAGTAGTTTTCTTTGCAAGCCGAATCAAACACAAACCACCATCCACCCGAAACAACCTCCCTTCTCCAAGCCGGCATTGCGATTGCCGCAAATACACCAAACATGCCAACAATGTCTCCCGCCCGCCTGCGGTCCATCTACCGCTCCATCCTGCGCGAACTTCCCCCCCGCCCTGTCCTCGCCTCCCCCCGAAGCCATCTACACAACCGTCTCCGCGCCTCATTTACCGACTCGTCCGCCAGCTCACACGCCGAAGCAGAGCAACTCGTCGCCTACCTGCGCTCTCAGAGGCTGTACGTCACACTGATAGAGCGCTATAATCCAGGCATGGACATGGACGAGGAGGAGAGAGTGAGGCTGACAGCCAGGCGCGTCGGCATGGATATGCCCGAGTTGTACGGGAAGGGAAAGAAGTTTTGACACCTTGCCAAGCCGTTGACAAACAAACGGGGGAAATGCTTTCCAGTAAAGGAGAGGCTGATCTCTTCTTAGAAATGGGTCGCGGCAAGGTACCGAAGAATGAACAAGTTGGATGACGTTGCATCCTGTTTGTGTTACTATGAACTGGGTTGCCGCGCAAACAACAATTGGGCCGGGCTTGGATTTCAAATGGTCCGATTGTTTCCTACTGGACGTAACAACAACAGCACCAGCAAAAACAAACAAAAACAAAACCTCCGCATTAATCGAACACCAAGGCCGAATGGCACGCCCAGCAACTTCTTCTTTAGCGCGCAACGGAAATAGGCATGTACAAACAGGAGGAAAGGGGCCAAACGGCCAATGGGAATTGTATAAACACTGTACAATGAATATAGAAACTTGATACCCTTCGTCTGCTCCTTTTTAAGGATACTACCATGCATGTCACAGCGGCTGGCGAATGGCACATTGGATGAAACCATGTAGATTCATTCCTATCGCAGGCCGTAACCTTTTTCCTCATTTGAGGGGGTATCTATCAACAAAGTTCGACTATAAAAGTAACCTAAACCTCCCTTAGGTCATGTATGAATGTCATTAGTCATCTGATCCAACCCAAGAAACGACTGCTCCTCTTCCAACGTCTCGTCCCACCCGCCGGTACTTAGAAGCAATACGCCGGCACGGTCCTTGACTGTCCTGATTCCTTCGCCAAGAGCGCTATTCCACTGTTCCTCAACTAGGCGCACCTTTTCTTGGAGATCCTCTGTTAATCGTCGATCTTCCATCTCCCTCATGCTGTTGGCCCTCTGTTCTCGGTCTTCAGCACTGATAGCTGAGCCGTCAGCTTCGGTGACTTGTGTCTCCAATACCCTTGCCTTGGCATTTACCACTGCTCCCTTGACCTCGTGCAGGAGACACAGTAGGTTGGTATGGGATTCGATGAACTGGCGCGTGCTCTTCTCGGCATGCATCAAAAGACTATAAAGATACTGCAGCGGGTGGTCGTGGTATGCCGGGTTCTCCTCAAACTCGGACGCGGGAATCTGAATGTTGAATCCCTCAAGGTCTTCTGGAATGCTGTCGAGTAACTGGCGTAGGGGCGGGGCAATGTCCCAAAATGCCGACATTTGCAGAGCAACTCCACGCTCGACAGCCTCCTCAACAATAGTTCTGAACTGTCGAGCCCGATCCAGAACCTCAGTGGCGAGCGAATATTCTCGCTTTGCGGCATCCTCGGCGAAGAATGCCTCCGCGGACCTGAGCTTCTCATTGTTTCCAGAAAGACGGTAAGGTGTAAGTACTACCTCGCGATATCGTGTATTGCGGTCAGATAAAATATCATAAATAGCTCTGTGCAGGGATTCTCTGGTTTCGAAAATCCACTTCAACAGAGTAAGCTTTTCGAGCAATTCAGGTCGGTCATCCCCCTCCTCTTGCGGCATATCAGCATCCATTTGACCATTATCAAAAAGGTGCTTCGATAAGTTGTCATACAGAGCATCAGCTTTTGCGATTTGGGCAGTCAAGAGATCATTAAGGGGGCGGATGACCTCATTCTGGAATTGCTCGTATTCCGTTTTTTCCAGCTCCTTCTTGTTATTTTTCTCTTGCTGTTGAGAATCCGACTCAATGACAGCAGCATCCGCGTACCCGATGTTTCCAGAGCTGATTTCTTTCTGCAAGTTAGCCATCAGTGATTGCCGACGCTCAGACGCTGCCTTGGAGAATTCTTCACGGCGCTTGGAGCTGGCTATTGTGAATCTCTCCTTTACATTATTGATTTCTGCCAGCTCATTCAAAGCTCTGACAGCTGTCCGCGTTGCTGTCAATTCTGGATGGTTATTATTGAGAGCAGGATAATGCCGAGGGTATGGTGGTGGCAGAGTAACGAGCCGGGAAACATCCACTGCGTCGGGCTTGTGATGTGACGTCTGGGACGAACTTGAGTCCGGGGGCGTTCCACTAGAAAGCCGCAACGGTTGCAGTGTCCAGGATGACGGCTCCTCTTGGTCGTGCCATCCTGTCTTTTCTCGCGGATATTCCGTGGAAGACTCATATTCGCTCGTTCCGATATAAGCCCCTGTTCCTTGCTCTTCCTCAACCCATTGATCCTTGGGAACTCCCATGTACTTGGATTCTCGCTTGGATCTCTCAAACATGCGAGGCTCACCCTGAGAATCGGTCTCCCACCACCGGCTTGGCGGTCGTCCACGCGAGCTTCCATTTTCATAGTTGTCACTGACGCTCATGCTGAGGATCGGAGAAAGTGATGGCATATAGTTGTTGGTCCAGTTACCTTGTGGCTGGGCGCTGCCAGGCGATGCGGAGAGACCTGCAGAAGCTGGTGCCGAGGTCGACAGCCCTTCACCATGGACAATAGAACTCGTCGAGTCTCTCTGGGAATAGCTTGGATCTGTCGATGCTGGTGTCCATTCATCCTGAGACGCTCCGGACTCCCGTCTTGACGAGGAGACCATTGGGCGAAACAAATCACGACTAAGATCAAAAATTTCCGAGCCCATTGCTCCAATGGCTGAGGAATATCGTTCTCGTCGAATTCGGGATTCGTTTACGATGAAATCGGCAAACAGACGAACTCTATCCGCATCTGACGCTGCGGCAGATTCATTGGCGGCGAATGATCGGAATCTCTCGATTGTAGCAGTAGCAAATTGCTCAGCGGTTTGGCCAATTACTGTTTGTTTAGAAATAGGCGTCAATGCCGATATTGAGGGGCGAGATGAATCTCTTAGCCGTGAGCCAGATGCTGACCGTGTCTGAGGAGGGGGAGTCGGTAGAGCCTTGGGAGCCACGGCTTTGGAGGGTGTAGGCATTTGAACGCCTTTGCCGTGATATGGGGAAAATGGAGGGGTGGCGGCTTCAAGCTGTCCGGACCTTGGCGCTCGTGGAGTTGAATTTCGAGAATCTTGAAGCGTCAATGAGTCGGCTGTTCGAGGCAACTCACTATCCCTTCTGCCTGCGCTACGAGGTGTCGATTTCCCAGCCACGAACCTTTGCAGCACGCCAACAGAACCCGAGGGAACAACAATATCTGAAATATTATGTGGTTGTGCAATGGCATCAATGGAGCCATGCGATGTATGGCGGCTTCGGCTCTCAGCTCTTCGTTGGAGTATTGTCTTATCATGTCGAACTGCCCTAGCTCTATTCAAGCCTCCTGCGCTGTTGGATGATCCTAACGGATCTGGGACGTCCGTGGCATTAGCAGCAGTGGTTGTATCAATCACCAAGCCAGGGGACCGCCCGCGACCAGACTGGCTCGGTTGGCTAGATTGGCTGGGCTCTGCATCGGCATCAACCCAGTCCGCGGGTGTGGGAGGAACAGGGCCCAAAGACGTGACACCACTTGGTGGTGGCCGCCTGGTTGGAGGTGAGATGATTGGAACGCTGGCTCGGTCTATGCTTTGAACACTCTGCGATCTTGACGACGAAGGTGGGGGCCCGGGCGGCGGCGGTGGAAGCGGCATTCCAGGCTCCCACCTCGTTTGCGATGTTGACCGGGATCGTTGAGATGTCGGGGTATCAATTGCACCAGTCGAGGCCGCCCTACGAGCTGCTGGAGGTCCGGTGAAGGGAGTACTCGGTATAGGTGCTACAATGCGTTCAGGCTCTGGTTGAGACATTGCAGGACCCGTGCTTCTTCTCATTTGCATGGCAGCTGTTTGGGGATCAGGCGAGCTGGCTTGCGGTTGCTCATGATCCCTTCTCCGCCCAAGAGACGGTAATCCAAATCGGCGATCTCTTGAGCTTCCTCTTCCCCCAGCACCAGGCGGCGGAGGGAACAAAGGGTTCGCAGGCGGCTCTGGTGAAGGCCGATGAAGAGGAGATATTGTCAACCTGGATGGAGGCGGAGGCGTTGAGCCCAGCGCAACGGTGTGTTCAAAGGCAGTGCTTATCGGCCGCTGCGTCCTGCTTCGAGGAGGGCTGTATGGGGGAGGAGGCACCGCCGACGCTTGATATAGACTCATGTTAGGATTTGCAGACAAGATAAAAGGTCAATGCAAGTGGGTGAGTTAAAGATTAAAAAAAAGAAAGAAGCTATATTCCCGTACCTTGCCCTCCATCGACAGGGAACTGGCGAGACCTGTCGGGCATCTGAGCTGGTGACGGAACCCATTCCTGGGGATTATATGGCTGAATGGCACTACTGGGCGTCTGCGCCGACTGCATAAAAGGAGAAGCCATAGATACGGCAGACATAGGTGAGTTCACATGGTTGCCATATGTATTAGGAGCCAGAGAGTTCGTGGTGAGGAGATTGAGGCCCGGACGAAGTCGCGCTGGATCACGGGGCGAGGCCATGATTGCTTTACCTCGCTGGGGCGCCCCAAACGAGACGGATCTCGCGTGGAGGATGGCGGACTCCCCGATTTCTGAAAATAGAACAGAATGCTTCGCTGTCGGTAAGGATTGCCGCGAGGATAGCAGATCTTGTCGGCGGTTAGAGGATGGTACGCGGTGCAGGTCAGTACTCCGTATGTCGGTCAGATTTGGTGACGGGTCGCGACCCCGTGTGCGTAAAGCATTGCAAACCACTCTCGCCTCGGTCTATTGAAAACGGCGGCTGCAAGACGCAAGCTCTTCGGGAGCGTGTCCCTGGCGGGCAGATCTATTTACAGCAACAGAAAATGGCTCTAGAGGAAGCGCAGAACGTGGTTGGTTGCCGGAGACCTGCAGGAAGCTGTATGTATTGGCGATGACCCCAGAGCCCGGCGGTGGGGAGGAAAGCAAATCCCAGTTCCCGCTCGGGTTTGGCCAACGAGTGTTGAAGATTGCGGCTTCGCAGGAACGGGGGTAAAGTCCAAGCAATGCTAATAACTGGCCAGTCGATCGGCAGCACTGCTTTGTAGACGAGCTCATAGCTTCAGTCGAATGCTGACCACATTGTTCTCAGATTGACGGGGGTTAGACGCAGTGTCAACTCTGTGCGCATGCCGTGTGTCTGGTCTGCAAGGTTTAGCTGTTGTGTGTGGGAGATTCCCAGTCCGACCCTGGTCGTCTGTCCGACTACTTCTTCGTGGTAGGTACGGAGTAGTTGCTCATTCTATCCGTAATTGTTTCTATATGCAATCAAGACATGGATATAACACCATGGGTTGTACGGAGGATATGAAAATACTCGGCAAAGGAGGCAGCGAGCGCAAAAAACGGCGAGCGTCAACTTCGCATCATCTTGCCACGCCTTTGGTACTGATGACATCCTTTGTCAGGAACCGTAGCATTCGCAGCCTTGGCCGTCATGCACAATCGAGGGATCACAGTCGACACAATTGTGTTGTGTGCCGCTTCGGACCTGCCTGTCTTGTATCCCCACGCTGTTAGGGTGGCAGTTGTCGAGCACAAATGCGCACATCACGCCATGATCAGCGTGAAGTGGGCGTTGCCTTGGCCGCTTCTCCATCCTGGCTTGTATCTTCCCATATTACCCTCGAGTGCCTATGTACACATTGTATGAGCCATATGCAAGAGGCGAGGGTCAAGGCATATGTACATAGAAGTCAAGTATTATAATACATACCTGGGTATGGAGTAGTACATACTGTCTGAACCAAAGTCGAGGTTCCATGTCGCACAATACTACCCTCTGCCACCCTTTTCGTTGGCTCGAGACTTTGGCCGAATTGCACGGCGGAAAGACGCCAACGCTTGAAAAGACTTCAGGATACAACGGTTTAATGGGGCGCTTGGTGGGTAGATGCATCAAGACTGCTGTTCCTCCTCAGTCCGCGAGTGGTTTGTCTAGTTGACTAACATTGTTGCTGGTCAAATTCCTTCCGTGGAGGGAGGGATCAGACGCGAATATGGCCCCATGATTGGCCACATCCCTGCCGATGCAGGTGAAGAGGTTGGGCGTCGGCGCTTAGTAGCGTCTTTTGTCAAGCTGCCAGCCCCAAATGTACTCTAATAGCGAGTGCTGCCGTCCGTCCATTGGCTTCAGTGGGATCAAATTTGGTCTTGATAATGTCTGGTTGGGGTGCGTCTGGTGGTAGTATTCTTCTGCGAGAGGTCTGCGTCCATTGCGCCCAGTTTCTCCACCAGAATAGGCTTCTAACAGCACAAGCATTATTGCCTTTAGTCCATCGAGTCAAATCTGCATCATAAGCATTCGACCACCCGCCGGCGTTGAATGACTCCGAAGGGATCGAATCTTATGAACCCCCAACTGCATGAATAGGACCAGTTGACCTCTTCTGCCAGCATCTGTTTGGATCCCCATCCGCCTCGGTTTGGCATCTCGCCGCTCTGTCATATTTTCTGCATTTCTACCACCAGATACCTTGGGTTGAAAGGTTAAATCTAGCCCAATCTGTCAACCCGCGATACAGCGCAGCCGAAATATCGCAGCCTGCTTGACACAGAAGCCATCAGACAACCTTGCGAAGCATAGCTTATTGCATGGTGGCCGTCGAACCTGGATTTCTCTGATCTCTCGGCCCCGATAACAAACTTCCTTCCCTCTGCCGTTTGATCAAGACTCGAACTCTGTACAAATATGATTTATACGCAAGGTTCGCTTTGGTCGTATCGTACATGTGTTTATGATTCACTGGAGTCGCAACCGAAGTTTTGCAGAGAATCTGTTTGCTCATGACATTTCAGACTAGCAATGGTCCCCATGGCCCCTCACTTCCAATGTTGGTTGGTTGGGCACAAACGTGTGCCCGCAAGTCATCGGTTTCTAAAAGAAACTTGAACAGGTGAATCGTTATGCCGTACCAGTCATTCACTTCCAATTGAGCTCAAAAGACCAATTTCTCATCACATTCCTAACATCTTGACCAGAGTACAAGTAATCAGTACAAATGGCTATCCTCAAAAGAAGCACTTTCACCAGTGACCAGGCTGGGAGAAGCGGATCCAAGACTGACAGAAGCGACCCGTTTTGCGCTTTTATTGGATAGTGCAATATGGTGGGGACACAAGGCTCTTAGAAAATTCTACGAGGTTCTGAGCTTTCAGGTGTTGGCTTCTGACTTGAACTTTTCATCTCTCGACACCAGCGATCAAATCTCTCTCGCTGTGTACCTACACATTGTTGACTGTCGTCGCTGCTGCGTCCCAATCCATCCATCACAACGTAAGTACAGCCATTTGCCAATGTCAACGCATCATAATCCCCCTTCCGCAGTCTCTCGTGATGAGACACCAGCTGGCACCAGTCATAGAGTGACTTGTACTCCCTTCATTGATGACCAATCTTGCTGTGGTCCAAGACCATTTCTGATTTCCCAGACTGTGGAAGCATTTTTGTTGCTGCTGTTTGCTTTAGCGCTTTGGTACTCATGGAATGTAATGCTAACGTCGCCAGGGTGCTCTCCTTTTAGCTCTTAAATTTCCGAAAACGAATCACCGCGATGGTCCTCCATAACCCTAATAACTGGCATTGGGTGACTAAAGATGTCACTGCCTGGACAAAGAAATGGCTCGAGGACAATCTTAACGAAATTAGTGCCAAAAACGGCGACGTAGAAGTCAAGATTGTCGAGGTTGAGAGCATAGAGGGCGAAGCTGAAGTCTACCAGAGAAAAGGCAAGGTCAAGACAGTTTTTGACCTGGAGCTCGCCCTGAGATTCGCTGGTAAGGATACGTGAATGTGTAGTATGTAACAACAGTAGAGCCTAGGCTTACGCTCATCGTAGGATCCGCCCCCGATGTGGATAAGGTTTCCGGCACAATCAAATTCCCTGAGGTCCAACCAGATATCGAAGACTATACGGTACGTCTCTGTCTGCGTCTTTGTGATGCTTTTTAAAAGCCAAAGTCGTTTGCCGTGCAAGTCACTCATTCGTCTTCCAGTTCGAGGTAAAACTCGAGGACCCTGCTCCAAAGGAGAACCAGCCTGTGAAGGAGCTCGTCCGCAGCCAGCTTGTTAAAGAGCTGGGAAAGAAGTTCAATTTGATCACGTCTGTCCTCATCGAAGAGCACGGCAAGGATATTCAACATGCCCCTGGTTCAAATCCTTCCAGCGGATTTTCGACCCCGAAGACTCATCCTCAGACTTCTTCACCCAAGCCTACAGAACCTTCCAGTGCCCCCTCAAGCACCTATGGTATTGTCAACACGACAACAGTCACGGACAAGGAGGAGTTTAGAACTACCGCCGATGAGATGTACCAAACTTTTGTCGATCCTCAGCGCCTTGCCGCCTTCACCCGCTCACCTCCAAAGGTCTTTGAGGGTGCCAACAAGGGCGGAAAGTTTGAATTATTTGGTGGAAACGTCTCTGGGGAATATCTCGAGCTTGAACCTGGAAAGAAGATCGTCCAGAGTTGGCGTCTGAGCCAGTGGCCTGCCGGCCACTTCTCCAAGCTCCACATCGAATTTGAACAAAACAACGTTGATCACGTTACGGTGATGCGTGTGGAGTGGAAGGGCGTACCAGTTGGTCAGGAAGAAGTTACCAAGAGAAACTGGCTGGAGTACTACGTCAGGAGCATTAAACAAACCTTTGGGTAAGCAGATCAGCGGAAGTAAACATATAGTCAATCGCTTGCGCTAACAGGCCATGAACAGATTTGGCACCATTCTATAAAGAGCTTCAAAATGACAACGACAAAATAGACATACATAACATCGAAACGCTCTAGAAGCGGGCATGGGACAACGGGGTTAGGCGTCTCTGCCATGGTGGCGGATGGGCTGGGTGGCTGGTAGCTACTGGTTCTTGTCTTGAAGGGTCTAATCAAGACCTAGAAGCGTGGGGATTACGACAATCACGAGCGATGTTGATGAGCAATACTCTGAATTAAATTAACAAAATTTCTGAATTTTAATGTACACTGTTCGTTGAAGCACACCGCCAGGCCCTCGCCCAAGTTGCGTTGGATCCCACAGACGCAATCTATACAGTATAACTAGAATGCATGCCCAACTCCAATATTCTTCCGCCTCGCTCCCAGTATGTGAGACACGCTATTTACTCTTGGTACGTTTCGTCCGCAGGCCCCGTTCGGCAGGAGGGTCTTCTACTCTCGCCCCAAACGCACAGTCTGCCACAAAAATATCTCCCAAATTATCCCAGAGCCCTAAATCATAAAGGTTTTCGACGTCTTTCAAATTCCACACCCGCTCCCACTCGCCCTCGCCGGCTAGCGCCATCTGCGCTGGCGGAGGTTTCCCGTCGTCCGTCGCTGCCAGAACCATCTCCGGTTCAACCGGCCACCTACGGCAAATAGGCTCTTTGACGAGATTCCTCTCTCGCTTCGAGGGCATGGGTCGACGAAAAGCATAGCCGTCTTCCATATCATCCTTGTACACGGACCACTTAAATGATTCGTTTGTCGTTGTGCCGCAGTACACGAGATACATTGTATATAACAAAAGACCCCAAACTAAGGGGGCCGTCAAACCGGACAGGAGAGTTGTGACGCCCAGGCCGATATTTGTTTGAATGCCCCAGCCCCAGATGACAACGTACATGCCCCATCCCTGTTTTGACGGCGACCAAGGCGACCAGTCGACAAAGTGTTGTTTAATCGACGAGGAGAGCAGCGAACCGCCGAGAAGGCCACCGTATGTGCACAAAACAGCGGTTGAGAGGAGGAGTAGTATGAACCACTGGTGGTTTCCGTATCCCACGCACGAGTTGATGAAAATACAGTGATGGTCGGCCTTTGCTATGCACCGCTTGCACAGGCTGCAGTGCTTTGAGCGTGGCGGTTTGACGAATCCGCAGGTTTTGCATTCCACGCCGGGGTGGAAAAGCGCGTGGTCATATGGATAGAGCGACATGTGGTAGGCGTGGTTTTCTTTGGTGATGTAGCCGGGGTCAGCGGCGCAAGACAGATAGAGGAACAGGTAGGGGAGGAAGACGGTGACGGTGACTGTGAGCTTGGTGAAGGGGGCTAAACGGTGCCATATGGGCGGTAGGTAAAGGTATTCCCCGCCTACCATGAGGATGAGGAAGAATATCTAAAGATGGTTGGTTAGTGTTTGCTGTTGTCATGGTACATGAATGATGCACGAGACGATGGTGGCCGATACGTACAACTACGGCCGGATGCCGTTCATGCATGATAAAGTGTCCAAATTTGGATAAGGACCTTGTGATCCTTCCCGAGGTAAGTCTATTGTCTATAGACAGTAACATATTGGGGACATGAATCCATATCAGACGGTGTAAGAAGCCAATGGGCGTTCGTCTGCATCAGACAACTATCAGCATGACAGAATCTCATAAATGTGAAAGGGTCAGGGTCGAGCTACGCACCGAAAAACAGGTAATCTTCCAAAGAAGGTTACAAAGACTGCGAAGCTTACGGCCAAAATGAATGTCACGGCCCATTTTAGAGAGACCATGATGGGCCGAGGCTGCTGGGCAAGATCACCGGCTGTTGACGTCAGACAGTCGCGAGAGCCAGGGTCCGGGGTATTGGGTGACTGATGGAAGAGAACGGGCACCCAGGTTGCAGTACTACTGTCATCGCATCTCGTCGCGGATCACGGCAGCGTCCAAGGTCTCATGCGCAAAATGGCTGGCAGAATGCAGTTGCTCTTGGCATGAGTTTGACGATGGCTTCTGGTCTGGTAACTGCCTACCTAGGTAGGTACCTAGGTACTTGTGGCGGAGCACATGCAAGGCCCGACTGGCTCAGCGACCGCCAACTGACCTGAGCCACGGCACAGTTTGCACCAAAGCCACTTTACCAGCAAGCGTGACCCACGTGATCGCGCGACCCTCATCACGCGTCCAGGTCTTGTCCAACGGTCGTTTGGAGCCTTGACCACGAGACTCTATCAAGTAGGAGGTTGAAGTTGGAATAAAAATAAGCCATTTCCTGCAACTTGCGCCTGCACGATGAAGCAAGAGCGCCTCTTGTACCGTTGATGTGGTAGCGACTGTTTGTCCTTGACATATGGGATTATCGCCCCTACTGCACCTTAGACGAAGCTCACCACTTTACGACACGACACAGGGCATACGCGTAATTCACTACACGACATCCCGCCGCGGCAAATATAATCCCCAAGATGTCTGGAGGGATCACGTATAACGGCGTCGAAAGCGCCACGGGAGGCAATATTTTTAAGGACATGGTCTTCTGGGTTGCTCAGAGGGTGCCGATGAGGAACACTATCCTCGACCATATCAAGGCAAGCCCGAGAATGAGCATTGCAGTGTATCAGAGGGCGAATGGCTCCCCAGCTAACCAGCGCGTAGAATAACGGCGGCAAAGTTGTGCCCTTGGAAAAAGATGCACATATCCTAATCGCGGACGACGCGAGGAAGGATGCCCATCCGGACTCGTATTCGTGGAAATACATCACAGATTCCGTCCAGCATGGGGCAGCGCAACTGACGGATCGGTATCGTATTTCTGGCCACACAGAGACGCCCAGGGTTCGTGTTGGTGCCAGCGGGCCTGTGAAGCGTACACGAACCCGTTTCTCCGATGCTGACGATGCCGCACTGGCAAACTGGGTGTTGGCTCACACTGAAGGTCGCACTGGCAATAAGATCTTCAAAATATTTGCCGAGACGGTAAGGTCCTAGTCTAATTTACTGACTGATAGTGGCAACGTTAACGAGACGAAGCATTCTTCGCATACGTGGCATTCATGGCGGACCAGATTCACCAAGTTCTTGGCAAACCTCCCAATCGCAGACCTTGAGAAGCTGGCCATGTCTGCTGCAGACTTGGCTCTCCAAACCACGAACCCTGTTAGTCGGTCAGCTTCTAGCCAAGCAGACTCAAGACAACAAGAGGAACAACTACCAAATGCAGCACAAGCCCTCGGGAAGACACAGAAGAAGCAAGCAGCCCGCGCCCCTCACCAGCCGGCGTCTGCGTCGCCTTCTACAAATCCCAATAATGCCCAAATCACTGCCGCATCTATAACGAGGAGCGAACAGAAATCTGAGGAAGCACCAATCTCGTCAACAGAATCTAAGGGAAGCGAAGGCGGTACCCAAGACGCAATGGAAGGCGAATTCTACAATCAATTGCACACTTTCGTTGAGGAGACTGGGGCTGAAATTAATTTTGACTGCTGTATTGGCGGCAAGACCGTCGATTTATGGTATTTGAGTCAAGCTGTCGATGCGCAAAAGATGCCACTAGAAGAAGTGGATTGGATGAAAGTTGCCGAAGACCTGAAATACAACTTGGTGGAAAACAAGAGCGTAACAGCAGAACTGCAGCGATACTACGAGGATAATCTCGCAGAGTTCTTTGAAATGATGGAAACCTTCTCTCTCAACGGCGATGGAGAATTTGAAGATGAGAAACATTCTGGACCAGTGTCTCCCGAAAGCGACATCCCTTCCTCACCCCCTCCTCAACTCAGCAACCGAAAGAGGCCCATTGATGATCACACTCCGTCAACCGTGGAGAAGTCATCAAAGCGTACGCGATTGAGTCGCAATGCGGAAATACCGTCAACGCCGGAGGAGATAGTAGGTGTGCTGACGACGCAGTCACCTAGTGTTATAAAAGCCAAGCAATTACGACAAGCTTACTCTAGCTCTACGAAGACTTCTACTTCAGTGGAGCCGTCCCATGCTATTGATGATGATGACGACGACAACGACAACGAAACCGATGATAGAGATGAGGTGATGGCTGAGATGCAATCCAGACGGGTTCCACCGCTGGACGCCCAGCAAAGTACGTTCGACGTGACACCTTCACAGCAACTACATTCCGAGGCTTTAGATGTAACTCCAATCCCACTCAATTTGAGGAAGGGCCGTGATGACCCAAAAGAGCGGCAAGCTGGAAACTCGGAGCCTGCTCAAGAACCGGAGGCTTTAATTCCAGAGTGGAAGGCAGCAAAGCGAGCGACCAGACGATCATTACCTGCATCCTTTCAGCCAGCTCCAGGGCGGTTACCTTCTCAGCAGGCCGAAGCAAGAGCCAGGCGACCGTCAGCGCCCATTCGAGTAAACCTAGACGATGAAGGAAACAGCCAGGACATCCGCGAATGTACTGAATTCTATGAGGCTCTTGGCTATCCGCGCCCCATTGTCATCGAATCGCTCATGCGCACCACAATGACTCCAGGCTGGCCGATGACCTCACTGCTGGAAAAGTTGCATAATAAAGAAGGTGTGCCCTCAAATTATGAGGGAATCTGGACCGACCGCGATGACAAGAGCTTGCGATATGCCGACGCCATCGAGGCTCGTAAGTCTTCTGCGAGCACGAGAGAGCTGAACAAGGCAAAGAAGGAGCTTGATCGGATTGTGCGCAAGCACACTCAGGAAGCGGTCGATTTGAGACGGCGATTCCTGCAGGCGCAAGCCATCATGGACAGGGATTGATACGTGTCTATATGCTGTAGGCTTACAAGCCTTGTTTAATAGCTTGAGAGTGTTTCATGACGCAAACCAGACATTGATGTGGTTTGTAGACTCTGTACACGATAGTCTTGTCGGAGCAGGATACGCGTTCGTCACTTAGAAGTCGATAATGATAGATACCCTGTTATTTTCATCACACTCCAATACTGCTTCTTTTCCCTGCCATAAGATTTCTTATCCCATAGACGCAGCGGACGTCTTCAAACCCTTACCACCCTCCCTCATGCTGAACGATACGGCCCGTAATGCCATCCCTCCCTCGCCATGTCCCCCCTAACCTTGTACACACTCTCCGCCATATCCAACAATCCCATGTCAACCTCAAAAATCCTCATCTCCTCCGCCGGCCCCATCGACTCCCCGCCTCCAAGTCTCCCCACAATCGGGACAGCAACCTGGCTCACACCACAGAACGTATTCCCCCTGCCATCCTTGCCATCCGTGCTACCCTTTGGCGCACCGCTATTGACGTACACTATCGCCGCAGTATTCTCAAACGCCCTCGCAATACAGACGTTGTCCAAAAACATCTTTTCGCAATTCGGGTTCAGATCCGAGCCCTCGCCACCATCGTCGGCCAGCCAAAACGACGGACTGATTATCACTCTCGCGCCATCCGCTACAAGCGCCTTGTACGCTTCGGGGAACGCGATATCCCAGCAGATCAGCATCCCCATCCTACCCCACGGCGTATCGAACGCCGTGTGCGGGGACTCTATGTCCGCCGCGAGGTGCGGCCGCTCAGGGTGCCAGAGATTCTTCTTCTGATAGCGGCCCAGGACGGCACCGTCCGGTCCAATGAAGTAGGCGACGTTGGCGAGGCCGCCCCCGGAAGACGTTTCAGGTTCCAGGAGGGTTCCCGGAACAATGGCCATGTTGAGCTCCTTGGCGAGCGCGCGGTATTTCTCCAGGTATGGCGCGGACTGGCCTGCTATCGAGGCGAACTCGACAGCGTCGGGGACCCAGCTCGCGAGGTGGTACTCTGGGAGGACGGCCATGTTGGCGCCCTGGGAAGCGGCATCGCGCAGGTAGGCTTCTGCGCGGGCAAAGTTGTCTGTGGGCGCCAAGGGCTGGGGTTTCGATACATTGGTGAGCTCTGTACAAATTTGGGGATTTATGCATGGCACGATGGCGAGATTGTTGAGATGAGTGGGTGTTCTTGTGGGTGCTGGTGTCAAGTCACGCCCATGTCTTGGAGGTTACATACCTCAGAATAGAGTTGTATTGCGGCTATTTTTATTTTCGTGGCCATCGTAATTTACCTGTGTACTGTGTTCTCTCGCAGATGTTGGTCCTATTTTGATGAAGGGACCAGAGCTTGTCCGACGTTGGCCGCAACGCGACTCTCGTGTTGTCATATCCGCTTTGGTTTGTCGGCTGGGTTCCTCGGGCGCCGGCCACACGAACGAGCTTAGTGGCTTTCTCCACTGGTGAGATAATTAAAAAAACAAAAGATCCCGGGATATCTATTCCATTGTAAAATTTAAGTGTCAAGTCCGTATGCGTAATACCACCTCGAATGCGATCCCATGAGCAATGTCCTTTCGCTTCGTCTATGCCTCCATCCACCCAAAACTAGGGTCACATCAACCCTACCAAGGTACGCCTAAAATAAAACATCAAACCCAACCCATTCCCATTTATCGTAAGAATCCGGCAACGACCTGCCCAGGTAGATGATTGTGTAGAGTATCGGACCCATTTGCTGACAACCCCTGCTCAAATCCCAATGTCATTGCGTCCATAGCATTTATCAAAAATGTGACGAACCATCTCCGTTTATAGTTTCGTTAATATGGCCATTTCTTGATATAAAAAGTCCAGAGGAAAACAAGTATTCCGAAAACTCGCCCCCATGCATGTTTGCAAATGTCATCAAGAATCCGGCAATTTCGCCTGCTGGGTTGTAAGTTGGGGCTGTGCGGGTGAGCAGTCCGGTATTTGCTATGGAGTACTCACCAACGCCTAATAGTAATATGTTTCGTGTGGCCGACGGTTGAAGCCTGTAAGATCCGAGGACTAGCGATGCAGCTGGGCAAATTATGTACGGCCACCAGCCAACCGAGCCAAGGTCAGAGAATGACGCCCTCAGATTACCCATGGAAAATGAAGCTGCCTCAAGTGATGCCAGTAGGTAAGCGGTTTCATTCTGTGCCGACTGAAGCATTTCTTGGTGAGAGTGATGTTTATCGGCCACCAGATCTGCAAGAAGACTCAATTCCTCCATCCCCTGCTGGAGTTAGACAAGCGCATCACGAACAAATATGTGGTCCGTACCTCTTGAACCCGCTCCTGTTTACGCATTACAAGAGATAGCTGGCTTTCAGATTTTTTCTATAACAAATTAGAATGTTTTCTCAGCTAGAATAGTCGCACTCACTAGTTGTTCTTGCAAGCTGAGTGATGACATTGCGACGGCCGTCAACATCTTCATGACCTCATGAGCATCTCGGTTAATCTGCGTTACAGCCACTTCCAGAGCAGTCTCGAGTGTGCGGGCATGATTCTCTTCTCTCAAGCTCATCATGCCGAGTACTTCTTCCATCAATTGCTGAAGAGACCTGGCCTCGTTCAAGCCTTTCTGCACCACCATTTCAGTTTCCTGGACATATGTTAGCTTCTTGACTATGAATAGAGGCTTTGCTTTTAGATACTTTGGATTTGGATAAGATAGAATGGGTAATGACTTGTTCAAAATACAGCAAGCTCGCGTTAAGTCCCGCCACGTGGGCTGTCAAAGTCTTCGCGTTGTCGCTGGACTCTCGGAACATTCGATCGAGTTCGTTTAGTCGATTCTGTACTTGGACTTCGGCATCAGTTGTAAGTCTCTCGAGAATATTTGCAAGTTTTCGATGAAGAAAAATATGATGATCTGGGCAGTTAGCCGGGTTTCTCTTTGGTAGAAAACTGGCGCAAATACCTTTCTCGCCGTCTGCTCGAGCGGCTTCACAGAATCCGAGTGCTTTGTGGCGATAGCTCACCCATGTGCTCCAAGCCGAGTCGGATCGCGCCAAGCCCTCGAGACAGTCATCGATCTCGCGAGTTATTACATGAAGCTCTGGTTTGGAAGGTGCCGGGAGATTTGCCAACACAGGCTCCCGAAATTTATGGCACGTTGACGGTATCGCAAAATTGGCTCTCTCCAAGTCGCAAATTGCTAGACTGGCAGCAAAGAAATCTACAAAGTCTCTTGCCGCTCTGCCGGTGTTGGTCATCACCGTTGCATCATTCCGGCCATCCAGCAGTTGGCAGTTATTTACCAACAGTCGAGCTGCAATTCTGTGACAGAAGGGCTCTGACTCCAATTCTTGCAACTCACTCAGTGCCGCTGCAAAAATACTAGGGTTTGCACCGCTTGCATAAGGTGAGGGAGGAGGAGACCGCGACGCTTCTTCAAGAGGCTTGTCAACTTGTGGCTAGCATTAGCACCGATCATTTATGTTTGACAACATATGCACTACTGGCTTACCGTATTTCTGTTGCGGGCTGCGCCATCCCAAGGCCGATGTCATGCCACTAAGCGAAAGCACGACAATTCCTAGAATTGCGCCATAGCGCATAATGAAACCTCTTGGCTTCGGCATCTTGAACAGCTCATCGATGTCAATAAGTGATCGTGATATGGCTAATCATCTGCTCTGTTGAAATTGCAATCGTCCGAGATGGAGCTACCCAGGAACTTCGGAAGTAATCAGAGAAAATATTTAATACGAACAAATAGACGAAATGTGCGAGCTTTGAAAGTTGCCAGAGGTGCAGACACTGGGGAGGGAAGGTGCAAGGATGAGCAGTTGCCAGTTGGCATAGAATTCCGTGGGCGCAACTCCCTATTCTTCGCATGAGGTCACATAAAACTGAGCGTCGAATGCCAGGATTATGTATTATTGTTAGGTTCAAAAGGCGGATGGCCTTAATCGCCCCAACCCTACGTTTGTCTACGCGCCCGTTTCAGATGACTATGGTCAAGTCTCGCAGAGATTTCATTTCATCTCTTAATCGGAACAATACTTTCGGGCGGTCCCTGGGATAAGGTTCCAGAATATGAACAGGCATTACTCGATCGTTTTTTCGTGGGACCCGAATATCACGGCCATCAGGCGAGGACATGTCTAACCCATGGACAATAAGCGCAGCAAACAATAGGATCTCGTTTGTAGCAAAATGCCTCCCAGGGCAAAGGGTCTTGCCGGAACCAAATCCTCGAAAGGCTGCTGGGTGAATACCACCAGACTGGGCCTTGGGGGCGAGGAAACGCTGCGGATTGAATTCATCCGCATCATCTCCCCAGATAGACTTGGCGGCATGGATGATTCCTCCAGCAATTTGGACCACAGCATCTTTTTTTAGAAAGTATCGGTCGGCAAGGAGAACATCTTCCTTGATAAGTCGAACAGAAAAGTTTTCAGATCCAATGCGCAAGCTCTCTCGAAACACAGCAACCAAAGTTGGGCACCTATTTTTTCATATCCCGATACTCAATCTCTTGGAGCCCTCTCGTTCTGTGCTTGCGTTCAGTGCTTCTGCCACTTCCCGCCGAGCAATGCTGAGCAACTTTTTGTTCGCAAAAAGGCGAAGAACCATCCAGAAAGTCGCGGTTGTGGTGTTAACAATGCTAGCGAAGATAAATGACAGCGCAGAACGTGCAATCATTTGCTTGTTCATGCCATATTGTTCTTCGAGCCGCACGCGGTCCCTTGAGATCTGAGCCCCGTCCTTTATATGACCAGCTTCAAAATATTTCATGAAGGCGGTAACCAGCCGTTCCCTGCCCTGATAGGCTTCCGAAGCCGTCAGGGAAGGGAGGACACCCATCAATAGACCGCCGAGGCCTTGATCAAAAGCCCAAAAGGCGGCTTCCAGCCCCTGATCTTCAGCTATGGGGTTTCGCGGGCCATAAAGATATCTCGCCGATCCCACGGTCACTAAATGGCGGGCCCATTGCAAGAGATCCAACTCTCGTTCTGTCTGGCTTAACTTGTCGAAAGATGCGGCAAACTCAGTAAGCTGGAAACACAATTCCTGGCCTGCTTCGCAGCTCAGAGAATTCAGATACCATCCAGGACCTAAGGCGCTGTAAACGACATAGTGGACACCGGCCAAAAATCCACGAGGGTCCCCTGGCTCCGGATCGAGGTTCTTTCTGATTCTTGCCACCGTCTCATCGTCCAAACCGAGCACTCGTTTGGTAATATCTGGGACAAGTGGGGTAAAAGACATAGTCTTTACATTTCGCTGAATAGACGCAGCCAAGGACGGGTCTGTAACCACATAGATACGAGAGCCAGGTACCGGGAGAGTAAAGATTGGCTCATTTGGATGCGACAGGCTGAGCTGCGTTAGCAGGGTCGATCTCTAGAGAGCACAACACGAGACATGAGCAAGGTACCCCAATTTTTTATATACCGACCGCCATATATAGCCATGCCAACTAGATGGCCGATGAATGGAATCCATGAAGGTAATACAGTCGGCTCATTGGGATGCACCTTTCTTCCGGCAGCAAGACGAAGAGCCACCACTGTTGTGAGCAGTCCCACGATCAAGCTCGCCACACCTGCGGGTAAGATATTGATGTCCATGAAAGCCATTGCACAATCGCCCAGTTTGGCTCACACGGCAGGATGCGGGTTGGATGCAGCTCCTGCCAGCGGGCCATCTATGCGTCGATGCACTTAATAGGATGCGACTACTTGCAAAGCTGTTGAAGCCACACGCTGCGGTCAAGCATTGCGAAGAGGGGTCATCGGCGTCGCATCCAGGCTAAATCGGCCTGATTGCGAAATCGAGATTCGAGGTCTGATGCTCTCCTAGTCGGTATGGTCTTTGTTTTTCTGTTCGACTGATCCAGCACTGGTCCCTTGATTCCATTGACACAAGCAACGGGGAATCCACAGGCTTGTTGGTGTTGACAGACCGAGAACATACATAGTACAACAAGCTGCTTGACGCCCGGTGGACCAGGAGATCGCCATAGCTCCACTACAACTACATATGGTACAGCTCAAATGACTGCGGTGTTTGCCAGTTGTTGATAGGGCATGCGTCTGCGGCCATTTTGTTCGGATATGCGCCTCCAGCTTCCGGTGACTATATTTCAATGGAAGGGTGACACTTTACATGCACAATGCACGCAACAAAGCCAAACAGCCCTTCAACATACGGAGTGCCGCTGGAGAAGCGATTTTTGATTCCTCATATTTCTGCTGCGTCCTGCTTCGGTTTAGCTTACTAACCTGAGTCTGTCGATATGACAGATCTCGAGGACCCGCACGACCCTGATTGAGGGTGGGAACGCGGAAGCACGGAAGCGTACCTAAGACTGGCAGTGGAAAAATTCAAGTCCGGCAACAGAAAATTTACAACTCCCGAGGACCATCTTCACGGCCTTGCTCGCTGTTGCGCTGTCTGTCCCGCGGCTGCCGTCAAAGTCGGTTTTTGCAGCGCAGTATCGACCAACTCTGCACGCTTATATGCTCAGCCGTTTTCACAATATTAACATCGATACGTCATTTAATATCCGAACTCATGATACCGTCTGTTATTAGACAGCGGTCATTGAGGCATGGTTGAAAACCTCGGTACTTCTTAAGGGCTCTAGAAATGCATGGACGTTGTTTGGAGTCACGGTTTCTCATGATGACACGTTTTCATTGGCACAAAAATCACCGTTAAAATATACCGACGATTGGGTCAACGTGGATTAATCGGTGGAGGTGGACAAGCGACAGACACTGCCTGGATGATCCGACGACGCTAATACACGCCGTCCAAACCGTCGCCAGCATCAGCAATTTGTGCTGCAAGCAGGGTTCTCACATAAAGGGGAAATGTGCACGCAGGTGGACAAAAGATGGGCATGCGGACACGTCGGATACTATCAAATCAAACGGTGTGAGCGATTGTTCAACGGTTGCAAGGGAACCACTGCAAAGCATGATATCATCGATGAGCCCGAGGTGTGTGGTGACTGCCAGCGTCGCCAAACACTTCCGAAGCCCCATACAGCCAAATAAGGTGTTCATGGGCATAGAAGAAATGGGATTATACGATATCCTTCCCCGTTCATTTTGCAGCGTCCTCGGCAAGTCAGAGATTGGTATATCTTTTTGTTTTTCCTTCTCATTGACGATACTCCTGGATCACTTTGAAAGCGGGAGTCAGAATTTAATGAATATGGCAAGCCATGTTTTGGTGGCATCGCGGATGGGGTATGGGGTGTAGCTCGCCCGTCGATTTGCTAAATACGTACTTGAAAGATTCAAAAACGCAGCACATGGAATGAATACCAATAGCTTGTGGTACTTTTGGGGGGGGGATGTGACATCCAGAAGGTTAGAAGGGTGCAGACTCGCCACATGCTCGTCGATGTTACTATGCTTCAGATAAGCGGCCCTGGCTATAACACATACTATTAGAGGATTAGTATTATTCGATACCTGCTCATTCATTATCCCCGATGGCAAATCCGTAAGATCAAGATGATCTTGGGTGGCGAGCCCCTCCCGGTTTGTTCGAAACATGGAGTTGTTCCTGAAGGCCCGCTCGAGCAAGCACGGGGAGAAAGGTAATGTGATATTCCACGGCCCGGAGCCCACACATTGGGTCTTTGCACACGCGCGGTTCAGGTGCCGGCGATGGAGTTTGCGGGATGAGTTCTCGCACAGACCGCCAGCACCATCATGTATGTACAACGTATGTGCAGGACGAAATACCATGATACAACTACGCTGCAACGGGAAGGACGCACGTCGGGAGTACATACGTACGGAGTACTTCTTGGGGATGTGACAGGTCCCCTAGACCCCAGGTTGCAAGCAAAGATGGCCTGTTAATAGATGGATGGGCGAGAGAACTCGCGGACAACTGGGCCTTCTGGACCTTCTGGACCTTCTGGACCTGCTGGCTGAAGCTTCTGGACAAGGCTGAATGCGCCGTAGATGAAACCTCGGACCAAACATCAACCACGGTTGGGAGAGGTCAACTGGTGTCGCAAAGTCGCAAAGGGCCGTGGATGGAAACGCAGGGCCAATCAGTCAAAGGGGCGGGACAAAATAGACACACCAGACATGAACATTGAATGTGCCAGACATGACGGAGTAGACGTGTTCCAGTGGTACGGAGCACAGGGCCCCACCCTGGCGGCGAATTGATGCAGCGGCTTGCCTAATCATACGATCTCCCACTTAAATGCATGGGCTGGATTCAATCTTGTGGCTCTCGCGTTGGGTGTGCGGCAACTATGAATCGTGGAGCAACCTCATGTCACGCCATTTGGGCCTCGGAGAGCAGCGCGCGGAAGAGGAAAATGCCATGAAAACCAGCCCATGTGCCTGCAGGTACTGTGTCGACTGGGAAGCCCAAGCCGGGAGTCGCCGACCACCAAGCAGCGTTGCCCGGAAATTTGTGCCCGGGCGAGGAAACTTGTCCAGACAATGCTGTGCATATGAATGAACGCGGTCTTGTTCAGATGCGTGTTGATGTCTGGTGCGGAGCCTCTCGTTTAGCTTTGCACCGGCTAATCAATGCATCTTGTTTCTTAATGCGTCAGCGGGAAGCCGTTGCCATCGTTAATCCTCATTTCTGGCAGACACCAGACTCGCCAACTCGCCAACTCGGTATTACTCGATAGACGCAGGCCGGAACCATTCATTGGCGGCGGACTTGGCCGGCTGTGGCTGCACTTGGCGAACTCTGCTCCGTGTTTTGCCTGAGCAACTGAACTGTGAGGACAGCCCGACTTCTCTTCGATGCCATCTGACCATCTGACCCTGCTGCGGCCAAAAGTCATGCATGCTTTGTTCCCCTGGGTGTCGAAAATTCTCGAAAAAAACCAACGCTAGGAATCTGAATCGGCCTGCCTTTTGACTGCCGAGCCCGCTCCAGCTCTGATTTAAACAGAGGGACCGACTCCCGAGGGGAGCTTGACCCCAAGCTTGTATGTAAGTCGGTGGGTTAACACAATATATCGAGCCAAGCCAAGCTGTTTATTATCAACGCCACGAAACCGGTTCCTGCCATCCGGTCGAGCCTACCGGAAGAGCTTGTTGGCCCGGGCGCACGTTTCTTCAGACGACAGCTTCGACGTGTCTGGTAACATTGAATTCAATTTTGGTCTCTCATGAAGCGCAACAACCATACCATACCCGACAAACCATCGCAATCAACAGGACCGCCAATTTGACATAGCATCACTTTTCGCAACCCGCCGTCTCCCATAAAGGCTTCATACATCATCTTATTACGATATCGCGCCTCGCCATAATGATGCACGACAATGTCATTAGAGAGCAATCGGTAAGCAGCATGGAACAAGACCTCTCGTCCTCGCGACAAACCTCCCAGCCTGCACAAGACACATCAAGCTGGGGAACGTCGGCCGCCTCTGCTGGGATGGGTACATTTGACTTCACATCCGCTCCTCCTGATGTGTCGATACCATCGTTCGACCCGGCAATTGCTGCATTCGCCGACCTGTCTTTTACACAACCGCCCCACGGGTCACCCTACCAGACAGGGAAGAACACAATGGCGAGCCCCCAGTCCGACGCACTTCTTCAAAGCCGGGACTTTCACGACAAGAAGAGGATGAAGGTCGAATCCGATACCCCCGCTTTAGATTCAATAGATTACTGGATATCATTTGACGACGACCTGGACAAGATGGGCAGCTTTGAAATTGATTATTCCAGACGACCCGATTTACTCAGTCAAAACAGGTAAGCTCAATCAAGAAGAGTCTTGTTGCAAGACGAGACGTGCTGCGGGCAAAGACTAAACGACGGTAACCAGACCCGGCATGGCATCCGACTCGATACCTGGCCTTGGCAGCGGACTGTACTCTACCTCGACTGCGCCATTTCGAGAAGAAGACTTTTTCGATGATAGCGCCTTCGAGCAGGTCCTCTCGGACGACGAGGAAATGTTCGAAGCCACAGCCAAGCCAGGGGAGAAGATGGCACAGCTAGAGAGCATATCAACATCACAACAGCCTCTCGACAACAACACGGCGCTTTTCAACAGCGCGCAGGGTGCAGATAAATTTCAGCCGGGATCACGGCTTGAGTCGACCTTCAAAGATGTGTCCAAGCAAATGCGACGGACTGGCCCGCAAGATGCGGAGCCTGATATCGATGAACAGCGACGCTTTCTGGAGGAAGCATTAAACTCTGGTAGAATTCCTGGAGCCCTCATCCCACCAAATGGGTTCGGGGTAGGATTTGGTGCCGGCATGGGATGTAGGCCACCACAGGAATTCATAACCCGACCCCTCAGCCCGCTAGGAAAGCCCACGGAGAGTCAAACCACATCAAAAGACACCAGCAGAGCGAAAACCGGAGAGATGGTGGACGAGACAGAATCGAAAAAGCCGACTACGAAGCGGCCAACGACAAGCAGAGCGGGCTCCTCAAAGAAAGCAACCACGGCAGGAGCACCAAAAGCTCGGTCTGCAGATCGAATAGCTCACAATGATGTTGAGAGAAAATACAGAACAAATCTAAAAGATAAAATCGCCGAGTTGCGCGCCGCCGTGCCTGCGTTGCAAACTTCTGGGGGTGACGGAGACTCGGAGGGTGGTTCCGCGGGTGGTCAGCAAAGCGCCGCTAAAATTAGCAAGGTGAGCTTATTTTTTATTTTATTTTTTTCCCCATACAGTTATTAGGATGTTTACAATGTTCCTGACTCTGTCGGGCTTCTGGACGATCACTCTTGATCCGCCCAAATTTCGAGCAAGCAGCTAACCAAAGCGCGCGTTCCCCGCGTGTCTTGGCACAGGGCACCGTCTTAACCAAGGCAACCGAATACATTCACCAACTCGAGGCCAGAAACAGGACCATTATGCAAGAGCACCAGCAGCTGGCACGGAGACTACAAGCGTTCGAAACACTTCTAAACAGCACGGGCAGGCAAACCGATATGATGATGCCCAATCACAGCATGACTCTATTCGACCCTAGAGGCTTCTGCTAGACCAGCTAGACCGGAAGTATCCGCGGCAAAATAAAAAGAGAGGATAAGGGGGGGGAGGGGCTTAAAATTTTGAAGGAAATCACAAAGCATTTTGGCACGGACATGGTACGCAAAAATGATTCGGAACAAGGAAGGGTCATCGGTTCTTTTTTTCTGTCTGTGTTGGCTTCAGACAGGACAAGCATTGCTATGCAGGCGTTTGATTTATGGCTTTTGTTAATACCACGTGAATCTCTGCTTGTTTGTTTAGACAGGCAGAAAAGTCGGTATGAGGTTAACGGACTTAATGATATGTTAATGGCGTCTCGTGGAGAAGAAAAAAAAAGGTTAGAACTCTCCCATGAAAGCGACTGTACAAAAATTACATCTTCATGCTTCACCACTCGTAAATATACCAATTATATACTAGGCCTGGCTCGAGTTGAAGACTCTCAAAGTGATGGTTGTAGGCAGCGCTGAGACCCCAAAGTATATCGCTACCCTACAAGGCTTCCAGCCATTACGTGGTGACGGATTAAACACATCAAAGACACTACTAGTACTAAAATTGGTGTGCGGGGTAAATTTTGTCTCAAATCGTACATATTTTGGCCTGCTAGTAATACACGTCCAAACTCGTTGCGAGAATGCATTTTAGTTGTTTTGTACATGTCATCTCAGCGCCTCAATATCATCCACCTCTTTGACAGCCTCCGTCGTCAGAATAAATGGTGAGTCGTCGTCAACGCATATACTATCCTCGATGCGAATTCCCATGCCATGGAAGTGTTTCGGCCATCTCTCGTCGTGCGGCACATAAACACCCGGCTCGATCGTGACACAGTGGCCGCGTTTGAGGGTCTCTCGCCGGCTGTACCCAGGGCAGTCATGGACGTCGAGACCGATATAGTGGCCGACGTGGTGGGGGAAAAGTTGGTCGATATTGCTCATGGACACATTGAACCCGATGCTCCTGAGTTGATCGACGAGACCGCGTGCAGTGATGCCGTGAATATCCTCGAGCGATAACCTGGCGCTTTCGCGGCACAATGAGACACTGGTGCGCTGGACCTTGAGGACGGCCTCGTAAAGATCGCGCTGCGCTGCGCTAAATTTTCCTGATACAGGCCACGTCCGCGAGATATCCGTGATGTAGGTACCATACTCACCACCGGCATCGACAAGTATGAACTCGCCGTCTTTGAATGTATTGTTATTCACAGTGTAGTGAATGCAATTGGCGCGTTCGCCGCCTGCTATAACGGGAATATACGCTGGGCCGTCGCAGCCGTTGACGATGAACTGGTAGTCTAGGAAAGCATGGAGATCTTTTTCCTTCGCCCAGCCATGTTTCATGGCCTCGGTAATTGCTCGCCCAGAGATCTGACCTGCCTTGCGCATATTGGCTACTTCGGCTGCGCTCTTGATGACGCGTAGCTTGTTCATCACGGGATATAATGGCGTCCTTGCGGGGTGCGTCGAGTCTTTACTAGAAAAAAATCGCCAGAGCGAATTTTTACTCGTGTCCCGCACGGGTTGAACGTCGGCATATACCAGCTTAGCAGACCGAAGTATATCTGGCAAGAGGCTGTCTACACCATCTATGGAGTGGGCTTCATCCGCATTGAAAACGTCTTTCGCAGCTTCGATACCGTTCCGGTAGCCGTTCCATTGCTCCTCCTTGGGATCTTTACGCTTGACAAACATGTGAAAGCTGTATTCACCCCAACCGGGACCCGTCTTTTCAATGACGGCAACAGCGTCGTCCTCGTTCCATCCCGTTAGCCAGAGAAAGTTCGACTCCTGCCGGTAAGGATGGAAAACGGCGCCTGATTTGTATTGAAGGGAGGCAGCGTGAAGTACTGCCACACCTCCCTCCGACATGGAGTCGGCAAGCGCTGCCCTTCGGTCGGCATATTCTTGGGCTGCAATACCAGGTGTAACTATCTCGCAAGAAAAGGGAATCACGGTCAGCTACAGCTACAGATATTCATTCACATAGAAAGAAGAATAGGATAAACGTACGTTCACCGGCTTTAAGAATGTGAGGATGGGTCTCGTAGACGGGCTGACCAAACTTCAGGTCGGCAGCAGATACAGCAACGGCGCTGTAGGATCTGATGATTTGCCGATTTTCTGCAAATGCCGCTCGTATCGACAAGCTGTTTATTGTGCCGCTCTTTGCCAGCCGTGGAGCCCGTGTGGACAAGGCGTTGCGCGGAGATAGGGAGCTCCGGAATGATAGCAGCGGCAACTTCATTTCAAGGTCGCGGGATAATTTCTGGAGGAATTGAATCGGAGCAACGATGGCATAGTCAGCAAGAAAGGAGGAGCGGGGATTAGACAAATAGAAGAAAGAAAGACCCTTGCCGAAACTACCACAGTGGCCCGTCTGTGCTTGATAAGATGTGTAGCCCTTGGGGCAATGAAGTGGTCGCCATGAAGAGATGGGTTGGATGGACGGCACAGCAACACCAGGCTGCAGTTTAGCCTCGCATCGATGGTCTGTGGTGTGAGGTTGTGGCGCGTGCTGTCCACATATGGATGCACAGAATACATGCCCTAGTATTTATGCTGGTAGCACAGTACTAGGCCGATTATCCACTTGCACAAGACAGACTGCATTGCTTAGCAATCCAGATCGGCTGCGAGAGGGCACCCCTTATGCAGCGCCCGATCTCACGAACTGGTCGGATTGATCGTTATGCACAGCTGGAGACGGGATGTGCTGGAAGGTATACCGGGGTGATCAGTCAACCCCGCTGTGGCTGCCCTGAAGAGCAGCCTGTTTAGTGTCCGCATTCGGCTAAACAGCCGCTAAAACTTGAGGCGACTGGCTGCATAGCGACCGCTTAGCTGCTCGTTGCTGGTGAGGCGGGTTGGCCCGTGCGTGTTTTTGGCAGCCTCGCCCAACCAGGCATAGTGCTGTTATGCCAAGCGCGAAGGCTCCATCAACACCACAGCTGAGCGAGCACAACTCTTTCTTCAACCACCGCGACCTCGTTCCTTCGACGTCCAACACCAACACCAACAACAACCGCCGTTGTCATAAAGGCCCTTGTTTCCTTCTGCAAGGCCGCACTTGATTCTTCAATGTCCTCCTAGCAGCCCTTACATCCTGCCTGTGAGCCCGCAAATCTTGACGTGTATTTCCTCTGCACGTCGCGTGCTCGACACGGACCAGCTTACTCACCTCGACAAAGCCCCTCCCCGGCCAAGGTGTGCCTCACACCACAACAACCTCCAGTAACGGCCATAACCGCCAAATTTCCCATATTCTGGGTCAGGCTCTGGTCGTGGGCTTCCAGAGCATGTTAATTGGAAAGTTTTATGGCCGCCATATCTCTATCTCCCACGCCTGCTCCCATCGCGGCCATGTCCTCGAGGCGGGTACCTCTAACGAGTAACCCTAATGTCGCCAACTCTCCATTAAGAGGACCTGGTTCCCTACACGCCTATGCCAAGCAAAAGAGATCTTATGCCAATGTCCAACGCGAGGAAGCATATGGTCAGCCCCCCCCTGTCAAGAAGCAGGTCCTGGAAGATGGTACTCAGCGTGCTGTTCGTTCTCCCTCCAAGGCACACCGTACTCAAGTTGTAGTACAACGCTCCAGTACGCGTCTAGTTGCAAAGGATCGTGCAACGAGGACTACTCAAGTATCTACCAGAACTGTACAGGATGTTGATACGGAGAAGGAGGTGTGGAAAAAACATCACAGGGCTAAATTCCCAAAGATGGTGTTTTATTTCGAGAGTATACCTGACGATATTAGAGCGAAGTTGACCAAGCGAGTCAACTATCTCGGTGCAGTATGTTGATCCGTCATAACCAATTGCTGCTACCGTGTGTAAACTGACTTGTCTTTTCTTCATTATCATGTAGCGTCAGGAGCCATTCTTTTCTATCGACATCACCCATGTTGTCACGACGCGGTCGATTCCACCCGAGAAGTCTGGAACTCAACATGAAGAATCTCTGGAACAAGAGCAGCAGGAGCCAGAGGAGCAGCCCCAAACGATCAATCCATCTCTGTTAGATCGAAACACAGCGGCTGGTCGTCGAAAGCTTCTGTTCGACTTTCGACAGACACAGATCCCATCTCAGCAAGCTGATGACCCTACAAGGCGGACCAAAGGCACCCGTAACAATGATGTTCTTCACAAAGCCCGAGAGATGGGCAAGAAGATCTGGTCGTTGGACAAGTTTCAAAACATGCTGGCCGTTCTCTTAGAATCAGAGACCCGGGGTGCGACTTACGCATCTGGAACTACAAGTGTCAGGAGTCAATACGGCGTAACAAAGGGCTCGCACGAACCCAATCTGCTTCAGCTATTGCACAATGAGCGTCTTAACGGCCCTTCAGATCGCGATCCGACGGCAGTGAATCGAGAGCTGGTTTACTTCAAGGGTCCCTACATCTATGTGTGGGATATGGACGACAAGTACAAGCCTATCATGGTTCGCGAGTACGCAAAGGCTGTTAACAAGCAAGACGGTGAATGGCCCCAATTTCGAAGCGTTGGCAATGGACGCTGCCCGTTTGTTGAAGAAATTGAAATTCCTGAAAAGGAACAGCGCCGCAACCGTGAGCGAGAGAAGGATGCTCGGCTAGTTAAGAGAGAGGATCCTGTCCCGATTCTGAAGCCACCAGAGATTCCCATACCGAAGCCAGTTACTGGAAAGCGAACCTTGACAGAGATGGAAGACGGCCAGAATCGTGTAAGAACGGGTCTGGCGATGGATGTCTTTAACCCTGCCAAAGCAGTCCTCTCCAAGCAAGCGGAATTGAAGTCGCAGAATGCCTTTACTAGCCGCGCTGAAGGCACCAGATTGTTTGCAGGCGAGCCGGTGGCTTCCGGAATGCAACCATCAAACGTTACGTCAGCTATTCGTTCTCAAATGATTTCATCCACATCTGGCATAAATGGTGGCAAGGCTGGAACTAGTAAAGAGGTTCATGGTCTTCAGAGAAAGGTGCTTCAGAAAGCCAACCCGGCTTCTCATGATGTTAGTTCTCGCCGTTTTGCAGAGGTTTCCATGGACGTTGCATCTAGTCGGTCAACAACCATGAGTCGACAAACATCCAAGGCAGTTCAACCTCACGATGATGAGTCGCAAAGGACAGAGTGCAGAGAGAAAAAGTCAAACTCGCAATCTCTTAAAAGCAAGCGAGATTTGAAACCTGGCTATTGTGAAAACTGTCAGGATAAGTTCCCAGATTTTGATGAGGTTGGTTTGTGCTATATGCTCTTTTGCTGCCCGTTGACTGACTCATTGATTAGCACATCTTGTCTCGGAAACACCGCAAATTTGCCGAAAATGATGATAACTGGACCGAGCTAGATTTGCTGCTCGAGCAACTAAAACGTATGCCAAAATACGCTGGCGCCGAGTCCGACAATGACGACAATGGATGGTAATTGACGACAGTACATATCATACTCAAACACTCCGAGTATATCCCACACCTCGCACACCAAAGAAGCAACCTTGAAACTCGCACCATCTAAAACTCAGATAATGTTCCTGACGACGACTTCCTTGATATTTGGCGCCTCTTTGCGCTTTTACATTGGCTCCACGCAACTCGCATTTTCATTCTCTGCATTTCAATCAGATTCCCGCTGCAGTATAGAATCCAAATGATACCACTTCTTCGACGAAAGGTTGAGACCAGAATGATCCCTCACCAGCGGTCCTTCTGATTGAACAATTTTTTCGATTATCATATTCATTTTATTATTCTTCACTTTGCATCATGACATTGCATGCAAGTCGGCGCAAGCGGCATAGCTAGGCATATTTAGCATTTTTTCACCTTTTTTTCTTTTTTGAACGTCACATCATGGCAAGGCGTTTTTTTTTGTCTTGGCATATTTATAGCTAACGGAGTAGGATGATGGATTGGAAGACGACAGTAAACAAGTCAGGACTGACAGATTTTTGGCATGAAGTGTATGGTGAAAGCGGAAAAGGATCATAGCTGAGCATTGCAGAAGAAGCACAGGATTCTTCCAGTGTGGGACATTGCCCGGCTGTACATATACTGGTTACTTGATATATATGTACTTTGTATGTTACCATAATGAAACAAAATTACAAGAAACCATTGTAATGCCTCGCCCGCGCGTTGCCAGGGAGAAAAGCTGATTATGGTCAGGCCTGAGGCCTCGATGCGTTGTCGACTCCGCGCTCCGTGCATGGTGTACAGTGACGATACGAGCCGCACTGTACATGCAAACCCAACGACTGGATCACAAGGGCTTGTTTGCCAAGGCCCGATGAAGACGGTGTCTCATACACCACTCCAAGACCATAGGTTTATTGCGCCTGTTACTTTTCGTCTAAAAGTGAACTTTGGGTTCTTTGGTCATCGTCCAAGATGGCACGACCCTACGAGCCGGGACCGTCAACATCGCTGAGCACAAACACTCCCTCCCAAACACCAAGCTCCCCAGTTCCCGAAGAAGATGATGACTCTGGGGCGGCTTCTCCCGAGCTTCCACTTACCATGAGTGCTTCTGTCATGCTGGCAGACCTACCGCGTGATGCTACGGCTGCCTTGGCTAGCGTTGGTGGTTTTCCCCAGGAGAAGGTGGTTGTCAAGTTCAAGCCCGTTGGTGCGGCACCTAGTCTCGCACAGGAGCTATGCAAGATTAGTGCAACGAGAAAGTTTGAGGAGGTGGTGAGATATTTGAGGAGAAAACTAAGGTGCAAGGATACGGATAGCGTGTTTTTGTATGTGAATAGTGCGTTTGCGCCGAGTTTGGATGAGGTGGTTGGGAATTTACATCAGGTATGTCCTTGTACGATCCGGGATGACTTTCTCCATGAGAAGAGTCATTCTTTGCTCCCTAGCCGGATTATGATTTGGAATTATCATGTCTGGAAGTGATACCAATTACGATTCTGACCGAAATAGTGTTTCAAGAATGGCCAGGATCAGCTCATTGTCGCCTACTCTATGACACCAGCTTTCGGGTGAACTATCATCTATCTTGCTGGAAATATCTATAAAACGCAAAATATGCCTCCTGAGAATCAAGAAAACCCGCCTCGCATGCAATGCAAATGCGCTCGCTCACAAAAACCGAATCATCAAGTGCTGCCGCCCCCACTCAACATGTCCCAACATGTGCCGTCCTCAAGCTTGATCAGCCACATTTTCCAACGCCTTGACTCCCTTTTCAAATGCGGCAAATTCTTCCTGTGGCATAGGATACGTGTGCTCCTTGGCAGGATACTCGCGAGCTTTGACATCATCTCGGTAGGCCTCGATGGCCTTCATTGCCTCGCCCCATACATCACCATACTTCTTGACAAACTTGGGTAGGTATCGACCAGGGGGGAAGTTACCAGTCATGTCCGTTTGAACAAGAACTTGGCCTGAGCAGCCGGCACCGGCACCGATACCGATGGTGGGGATGGCCAACTTCTGGGTGACGAGTGCAGCAACTTCGGCTGGAACGGCTTCAAGGACGACAGCGAAACATCCTGCTGCCTGGACAGCCAGAGCATCCTCGAGGAGGCTCATGGCGCCGCTGGAGGTTTTGCCCTGAACGCGGAACCCTCCGAGAGAGTTTTGCCGCTGCGGAGTGAGACCGACGTGACCGAGGACAGGAATACCAGCGGTGGTGATTTTCTCAATGGTGGGAACCATTTCCTTGCCGCCTTCTAACTTGATGCCCTGAACGCGTCCCTCCTTGATGAAGCGGATGGCGGTGGCAAGTGCTTGCTCAGGGGCGATTTCATAGGAGCCCATGGGCAGGTCACCAACCTGACGGAGTGCATGTTAGGTGTACTTGTTGGCAAAATATCCCACGACGATACGAGATGGCTTACCGTGAATGCACTCTTGGTGGCTCGGGCTACTGATCGACAGTGCAGCAGCATCTCTTCAACAAGCACCTCGCTGGTATCCTCCATACCCAAGGCCACCATGGCCAGGCTGTCGCCAACCAGGATAACATCCATGCCGGCATGATCGGCAACGTGGGCGCTGGGGAAGTCATGGGCAGTCATCATGGTGATGGGCTCTCCCTTTCGATGCAGACTCCTCAAGGTACCGAGAGTAACTTTCTTGCGCTGGTTGGCGGGTGCAGCCCCCATGGGTGAGTGGGAGCTGTACCGCGTCTGAGGTGAGGCAATTGCACATGCTGACAAGGAGGGGGGGAAAGCTGATGATGGAGATGAAAAGGGGGAACGAACAAGAGCGGCGAGGGCAAGTGAGCTTGATGGTGATGCTCGTGTAAGTTGAGCACACGACCGTCTAAGAGGGGAGGTGACGGCAGACATGGTTCTGGGGTGGGAGAGGCTTGGACGGATGTGGTGTATGTGAGGGTCCGGTGCGGGTACTTTTATACTCGCGCAAGCGTAGTGAGTGAACAAGTACCGCAAGGGCAATGAGTGAAAGGTGTACTCGGTACGACAGGGACTGCACGCAATACACTATATCCAAGAGCGAAAAAAAAAAGGCGCAAAATATTCTGGTGTGCACGTCACCGTGTAAACCCCGTCATGCCGAGCATGGGAAAAGAAAAGAAACGGTGTGCCTGAATTGTGGCGGAAGAAGCGGTTTTATTCAGGCTAGCCATGATGGATTTTACGTTGTAGAACTGAGTATCTCTGGGAAATTGTGGTGTTTTTTCCCTTTCTTACGGGCACGGAGTACGGAGCACCCTGGGGCGAGGTACCCCGGTCGGTTCCAGAGTTGCTAACCCAGATTCAGATCCGGGTGCCTGGTTAACCAGTCAGGGCGGCGCGGCGACCCACCTTCTGTCACTAGGTTGGTTTGTGCTCTCCAAATATTTGTTTGTATTGGGATAGCAAGATGCAGTCGGTCTATTCTAACAAAAAAAAAAAAAAGGAATAAAATAAAAATTACCTCAGGTGATTGTTATTATTGTTTTTAATATCAAGACTCCCCATTTCCCAACTGGAGGCATTGTTTGGCGTCCACTTGTCGCCTTCGCCGAGCGGGACCGGATTCCTCGGTCTATCGGAGAGGCGATGAAACGGTTCGTGCCTGTGCCGAGGCTCGGGTGATTGGGAGCCACGACGTTGGGGAGGGATGTGGTTGGTTGAGGAGGGAGGAGAGACCGGGGGCGGCCGGTGATGCAGACGCCTTTTAGGTCGATCATGTCTCGTGGCACAATAAATGGGTTTTCGAGACAAGTCAGTTATTGTTTGTCCGGATGTTTTCTGGTAGGTATTGTTGAGGTTTTTTCTTTCTTTCTTGTGTGCTTATTTGGGCGCGATCTGCATGTTTGGCCGAGAACAATAGATGGTTGCTATGGGCGAAGATTGTCAATGTGCAGTCTGGTGGCACTCGGAAGTTTTGTGAAATGTTACGGGATGCCGACGCTGCCTGTTACTGGTGCTGTAAGTCTGAGGGCAGAGGGGAATAAACGACCAGTCATGCCTCAAATTTGCGTCTTTGTTGTTTTACCACAATGCAGTCAATTGAAGGGGTGAAAGCCTGATTTGTCACAATGGCGATGTCCTGCCTGCCTGGAGCGGCCTATGAGAGTATGTACACGTACGACGTACACGAATGAATGTACAGTAGCCACTAGGTACTTAAGTACCTGGGTCCTCAACAGACTACTAATGCTGTTGCCTTGTTGTGTCATTTCCAAGACTGAGTGGCCAAATCTAATAGCCAGAGGTGTCGACAGTACTGGATAAAGAATATTAATAAGTGGAGGGTCACATCCCCCACGGTGTGCGAAGGCTCCAATGCGGTATCTGCAGGGGTACATATCCAATAAGAAGCTATGTTCCTAGAGGTACATACTTTTACTAGTAAATTCAGTAATAATAGAAGTCTCTATAAGAAGCTAGTTATAAATCGCTACATTAAAATATACCAAACTTCAGGCTGCTATCGAGGTTATCCGAGGTCACCAGTCGCCTGCAGGGGCATTGTGGGGCGAAATACTTACTGGGGCCTTCGCACAGCGTAGGGGATGAGCGAGACGCATTTGGGTCGACTTGACATTTTAAAGTCTGGTGGTGAGTTGCTGGGATTAAGCTCAGATGTCAACGGTCTGGTGGTCTGGTCGATCGTTTCCGGCCACTCCAGTGCTCAAGGCTGAGGCGTGTGCGAGGCGCTGTGGCTCAGGCGGTGGCCACTACTAGGTAAGTACTTCTAAGTACTTAACCACCCAGTGCCAGCACGACCAGCACTTAGCGTCAGTGAGTCTGATGCCTGGCCAGACCAGACATGTTACCACGTTGACAGGTACTGGCACACCAGGTTGCACATGTGCTGGGTAGTCCAAGCACCGAGTTGGCCTTATGCGGCAGCTGCGGCCCAGTGGCATCATCGCCTCCACCATCAGTGCATGCCTTGTGCCTGCAGCTGGAGGGGTCATGTTAGAGGCTGCATGTGGTCGGATTGGCTCCAGCCGGTGGTCCAGTCTGGTCTCTGGTCCCAGCCTTTGACGTGTAGGAGGCCAACGGGGGGCTGCCGATCCTTCTTGGGTTGGCGGACGTCCAAAGGCACCAGACCATTGCATGCTGTAGTACGAGTCAATCTGGTTTTAGTTACTCCGTACTGCCCAAGTAACCGGGCATTTGAAAGGTCTGGAGGTCATGCGGCCCCATCCTCCAGAGACAGCGTGCCCGCCCGTTGGCTGGCTGGCAACATTGAAGCTGGATTACTCACTGGCTGGCTGAACGCATCCCCGCACCAGACCGGGCCAGAACACATCGACAACTGGCACAAAACGAAGGACAGGTCGACATTCACCACTGGGTCAGTCAAGTAGGCCCTGTCCCGTAACATTGATTGCACCAGCCAGGCCAATACATGCCCATACATGCCCATACAGGTGCCGACTTGTGCCGCCGTCACCCACCTGAATACAACTGAGTCAACCTGGTCGAGTGACTCGAGTCGACCCTCCCGACATTCTCTCCTCGAGCCAAAGACTGCAGTGCACACTCGGCCATCTCGCCCATCTCGCCCATCTCCCGTTATTTGTTAAACAACGTCTATCCGTCGCCGTTTATACCCGAAGCATCGCATATCTTTGTTCGTCGAAGCAGTAACCGCCGCCGACCTGCCGTCTTTCGTCTCGCACCCTTGTTCCAGCCCATCCTTATCAGTAGTGACGTCGCCGGTTCCCGAGTCGTGAGACATTCCCTCAACTTTCGAAGAGCACACCACGCGACGCAGTGATCGCTGCGAGCCTGCCAAAATGAGTAGCCCGCGCCGAAGAATCGAGACTGATGTAAGTGCCGTCTGTGCCTGGTGCTGTAGACAACGAGTTCCTCTCTCCGCTGACATCATCTTGTCCAGGTCATGAAGTACGCCGCCGCTACCCGAACTCGACTCTCATACATTACGCCGCTTTGCTTTCCATGACCTGCTAACACTAATCACAGGATGTATGGTGGACACACTGCCTCTAATTTCACCCAAAACCCCACGGTCAAACTGACATTTGTAGGCTCATGAGTGACTATGAGGTAACCCTGGTCAACGACAACAGTATGTCATCTCGTTCGCTGTTGCCTGATGGCTGCTAACTTCGCGCAGTGTAAGATGCTTACCTTGGCTATGCGCGTTTTTCCACGCCGACGAATTCTTTCTTACCAGAACGACAAACAGGCAAGAGTTCTTCGTCCGTTTCAAGGGCCCGGCCGAGAGTATGCAGAGCCCACGATGAATAACCCACACATGCCTCTAGACTCGACGCTAATACGCTCAACTACAGCTCCTTTTGAAGGCGGCCTCTGGAAAGTGCACGTCGAGTTGCCTGATACCTATCCGTATAAGTCACCTAGCATCGGCTTCGTCAACCGTATCTTCCACCCCAACATCGATGAGCTGTGAGTAGACACTTGGTACATGGCGTCTCGTGGATGCGTTCAAACAGATGGCGCCAGAGTGGGAAAGCCAAATGTTTGCAGTGTCTGGCAGTACTGAGACATATTGGCCCTCGACAGGTCCGGATCCGTTTGTTTGGACGTAATCAACCAAACATGGTCACCGATGTTCGACATGATCAACATCTTCGAGGTCTTCCTCCCGCAGCTTTTACGCTACCCGAACCCAACCGATCCCCTCAACGGAGAGGCAGCCGCCCTGTTGATACGAGAGCCCAAAAGTTACGACGCCAAGGTCAAGGGTAAGCGTTGAGTGCACTGTGATCCTTGCAACCATGGCTCTCGGGGCTAATATATGGGATTTGTAGAGTATGTACAAAAGTACGCAACGAAAGACGCAGCCGACGAAGCAGGGGCCGAAAGCGAAGACGAGGACGACATGTCTTCAGTTGCTAGCTTTGACGATGAGGACGAAGAACCAGCAGGGCAGATGGACGACGTATAACCTCGATTGGACCGACACCACGCACACATCTCATCTCAAGCGTCAACGATTTTCATAAACACCTCACGGGGTCATCAGCGGACATTCCGCTCGCACTTTTTTTCGGCGTAAACACGGATATCAAGGCACATTGAAAGAACCTTTTAGGACTATACATTGCGGGGAGTTGCATAGGCCGACTATTATGATGTCGGAATTTTTTTTGTCTGGTTGTTTCTCCTCTCTGAACGAAAGAATGCCTGTCTATGCAGTTGGCTGGGAGGTTGCCAAACTTTAGATTTTGCTGTTTCCATTGGGTTTCTCAACGAGATGATGGCGTGGTTTCCAAGCCCGTTTTATAGGAGTGAGGCTCTGGTACGGTTGCCACCTATCGATTGTCAAAGGTTGTATTGGCCTCGGTGATGTTTCGGTTGGAATAATGGTGGTATTATGATGAAGGACATGAGGTTTTTTTTCTGTTACTCGGGGTTATGCTAGGACGAGTCAAGAAAAAAATAAAACAAGTAAACTAAACAGAGCAAATGTCCGGCACACACCAACTTTGACCAAGTAGACGGAAATCATGCAGCCGTGATTACCTACGGCGACGTGACGAAGTATATATGTAGTAAGGTAGGTACAACTCGACTAGCGAGTTCTCATGGTCTTGGAGTCGGTAATGACACTTGACAGCATTACGGAGGAAGAAAAATGTTCGTTGGCATTTCTCAGCATAGGTGCAAAGTATAGAAGATCGATGGCTTTTTTTCGTTTAAAAAAGAAGGTAAACTTAAAATTCAAAGTTGGCACAGAGGAAGATGAAAAAAAAAACAGCACGATAAGGACAGCATCGTGGAACGACTTTGCTCCCGGCAGGGCTTGAACCTGCGGCCTCCGCATCACTAACGTTTATTAGTACGAAGCTCTAACCAACTGAGCTACGGAAGCTATCCTTTGTTGCTGCCTCAGGTCTGTTATTTGATTATCTAAATTCTCCACTCCTTCAGGCCACCAGGCCATGCGATTACGGCGGACCGATGGGCGAAACATCAACTAGCGCAAGGACAGGATGTATGTATGTAGATATGATGGAACGCGGACTGCAAAATACTAGTGTAAACTTAGTATGTATATTTTACGCTTGCACGATACTTGTATCATGCGTGTAATTTCATTTGACTAGAGAGCGAAACAATTAAAAGTTAAAAACTTAGTATGTATTTGGGTGTTTCTGAAATTTCTTGGCACCGTCGAGAAATATTGTTGGTGCAAACCGAGCAGGGATTGATGCGGGTTGGCTCCAACAATGACGAAGCATCATTTGGGGAGGGGGTGTGGTGGACGTTATTTGCATGTCAGGCCATGGAAGCCGGTGCTCGCCATCCCGTCTACATATTTGATCCAACACGAATAAATTCGGGGCAAGCTTTTGCGCGACTTTGGGCGCGGCTTCGTGTCCTCCTGGGGACTGCAATCCATTGCCTCGCCGGCGTCCCTGGCAGACGCCGGCTCGGGCCTGGAGGCGCAGGGAGGAGGCGCAGAAGGCACTAAGAAGGCACGACATAATAGTGGATAGATGCTGAAAAGTGCTCCAAATAAAGAAGCACAGGGAATAAATGAATGAAGGAGGGGTTTGCGGGACATTGGCGAAGCTGAAGGGTCTCGAGGAGCGGTGCGCAGATGCAGGGTGGTGCTGGTACGACGAGCCGGAGCATGACCAGGGCCAGGGTGAAAGCAACTGCTCATCTGAACTTCTGTCTCTCGGTCTGAAAACGGCGCTAGCCCAACATCGAGGCTACATTGAAGGTCCAGTCGAGAGCGTGGTTGATTGGCATGGTGGAGAGCAGACTAGGCTCCCGACGCTGAGGACTGCGATGTGACTTTCATGCGCCAGGCAACTACAATGTGCCTGGTTGGTTGCATGCGCAAATGGGTAAGTACTGAAGTACTTGTTAAGTCAATACCTTAAGTAAAGTTGAGTACTTAAGGTACTTCAGTAGGTGACAGGGCCACAGTTCCAGACTCGACAGGTGTTGATGACAGTAGTACAAGTTGGAAGCGCATGCATCATCATCAGCTACATGTCTGGTACTCTGCTTGTGCTTAGATGGCAGATGGTGGCGGCGACACAAGGAGTGGCGGTGACTGCCGACAGCGCGGTATCCTGCAATAAATATGCTGTGCTGCATCTAAGTACTTTGTAAATATGATTAGTGCCCGGCAGGTTGGTTGATGAAGCAGCACGTACTTATATTTCTGGTGCTGGCTCGTATCTGGGTGCTCGATTCATGTTGGGGGCATGTGGCTTGGTCGCTGCAAAAGTCCAGTCAACTCTCGTTAGCTCACTTGGTACTTGCCTAGCACATGTGAGGCTTGCACCAGTGTGCAGAAGCGGGACACCCCCAAGTCTGCTGCGCAGGTGCCCAGGCTGCTATCCCCACGGTCCGAGTACGGAGTACGGAAGTCTGGAGTTGGGAGTACCTTTTGCTGGCGCCCTGGTACCTGTGTCACTGAGCCTTCCGCACGATACTTCAAAGTACCTGGCGAGGTTGCCCCAAGTCGCCATCTGTGTCCCTGGGCACCGCTTTGGTAAAGCGCCGAAGTGCAAAGTGCTTGCTCACCTGAAGCAACTGGTCCCGGTTGGCCCTGATTCTTCTAAAATCAGCAGCATCGGCGTGTGTCTTTTTTTTTTTTGCAACCACCTCCTCGTACTTTCGCCTCACACAGCCTCTTTCTTTTTCTCTCCATCTGCAAAACTCACACCAACCAACCCTTCTTCTTCGCAGGCCTTATTCATCGATGCGTCCTCGCGCTACAGCCCGGCCGGCCTATGACAGACAATTCGCTCTCCCGTTTAGGATAGCAGAGTGTTGCTCATCCTCACCCCACCACAGCTCGCCTTGATCTTGATCGTGATCGCCTCTTAGCACTGGCGGCTTCCGGGCTACCCCAGCCGGTACCGGCAGTGGCCACTCACGACGCACCACACCCGCTCGGTCAACTAGTAGTTTCCAGGACCGGAATATTCATACGTTGATTTATCTCTTTTCTCTTATTTCTTTCTTTCTTTTCCTTTTCTTTTTTTAATACATATTCATATATATTTATTCATCTGTCGGACCGGATTCGATGCCTCCCCACAACGATGTAGAGACCTTTCATGAGGTCCTTCGTTCCAGCCGTCGCATCCTGGCCCTCTGCGGCGCTGGCCTGAGTGCCTCATCTGGTCTCCCAACCTTTCGTGGAGCCGGAGGTCTCTGGAGGATGCACTCGCCCACAAAGCTAGCCACGATGAGGGCCTTTACGACGGATCCGGGCCTTGTGTGGTTATTCTATGGTTGGCGACGCCACCTGGCTTTGAAAGCCAAGCCAAACCCTGGCCATGAAGCTCTGGCGGCCTTGGCCAAGAAGAACCCGGATTTCTTATGTTTAACACAAAATGTTGATAGTGAGTTCTTCAACCACCCGTATTTGGAAGGGAGTGAGCACCCGCTCCCGCTCTTTGGGGTTAGTTGAGTGCCTCCATGTTGTTCGTGGTTCGACTAATGCGAGGCTATTTGCGCCTTTGTCGCTCTCTGCAGACCTGTCTCAACGAGCAAACCACCCACCCGAGCAACTTTGCACGCTGCACGGCTCCTTGTTCGATATAAAATGCACGACGGAAGGCTGCGGTTGGATTCAGCGGGACAACTTTGACGACCCATTCTGCCCATCTTTACAGGCTGGCTCGGAGGATCCTCCCCCCGGAGAGTCGCTTCCTCTCTTGGACCCGTACCACCGAATCAAGCACGTTCCCGAAGAGGAGCTGCCCAAATGTCCCAAGTGTCAGACGGGTATTCAACGGCCTGGCGTGGTTTGGTTTGGCGAGGAGCTTGATGAGAATATGATTGAAAATATCGATGAATGGATCACAAAGGATAAGATTGTACGCCTCAGCACTACCCTGCTTTGGTTGGCGCAGTGAGCAGTGGGCCAGGAGCTAGCTGCAAAGCAAAACCGCTGTTGATAGAAGGTGGCTTACACGTTATTTTTAGGACTTGATGCTCGTTATAGGCACATCCGCACAAGTGTATCCCGCGGCCGGATACATCTCAGAAGCAAAGTTGCATGGGGCTCGAATCTGTACCATCAACCCCGAGGCCGAGGAGGAGACGGAGCTGTACAAGATACAGCCGGGAGATTTCGCTTTCGGTCAAGATGCGGCAGATGCGCTTCCCAGACTGCTCGAGCCGGTGATTGGGAAATTGCAAGAAGATGGAGAATTCAGCCTATGACACCAGCACAACGCTACCGGGAGAGAGCGAAAGCAAGGGAGTGGGCCCCTTACTGCCATCTTTGGATGAAACAAACACACACAAACTCCTCCTCTTTTTATTCACTTTCTGGTATTACTCGAATGAGTGGAGTGGATTCGGTTCTGACTTATCACAAAGGTTAATAGAGTGGATTGCCGTCGACTGCTCACAGGAATATTGATATACAGCAACGCGCGCGGGCGGGTTGAATTAGCATTGGACCCTTCTAAAATGAGAAGGCTATAGTACCAGTAGCCATAATTGATGAAAATACATTGAACCTGCAACTGTGGGCCCTCGCGTTCCGTTGTCCTGTCGACTTTGTACAAGATGAGAGAGCAGCGTGTGTCTACGGAGCAATGTGATGGTGAAATGCCGTTGGCTAACGTGGCGGCATCTGACATCGGGAGGCTGGAGCCAACCGTCGACTCCAGATATCCATCCGTACAACATACATACTCCGTACATGGCACCCTGGTCGCCCCGCTGGCCAGAACACAGACAGTCGGCCAGAGAATCAAGGGTGGGGGCCGGCGGGGGAATCAATTGATCCATCACAACTCGATTCTGGCCATCAGCCTTCAGGTCTGGCAATACCTTGTAACTACATACATGTAAGTCAGCAACGGCACAGATATTGCTTGATCAAGGTCTCACAATGACAAACTTCTGCCAAGACTGATCGCGAAAACAAGGTCGCCATTGGGCTCGCGGCCCCGAGGCTCTGCACAAAGATGGTTCGTGAGGGGAAAACCGAAGCATACCGCCCGATTATGCGCGTGGGTGACGGTGCGCAGCTAGGCCAATGTTGGTGACAGAGGTCGACTTATTGGCTAAAGCGCCGACATCTATGATGATAGGCTTTCATTTGATGCTACCCCGAGGATTGCTCCCCCGCGTTGTCTGGATCATGTAAGTTATGGATTGGGCACGATTGCTGCAATGGCCGCGGCCCGCCGATCAATCAGAGTCACACCACGTTGGACGCGTTCCAATGGCTTTCTGGCAAACAAACAACGCAACGGAGCATCGTCGCCTTGCCATCGTCCCCCTACCGCAGCTCATCACGGGCACTTGGAGCACGCCGTCATTGCATGGGCACCGAGCATCGTCATGCGAAATCCCAGCCTCAATCTGCCGCAGCTTCTGCTGCTGCCCTGGCCTCTTGCGTCCCTAGCGACACAATTTGACCCTCTGACTTATGTCAACCCACTGATCGGTACAACAAACGGGGGCAATGTATTTGCCGGAGCGACTCTGCCGTATGGCTTGGCCAAGGTCGTCGCCGATGTAGACGGCCAGAACACCGGCGGGTTTGCCATGGACATGTCCAATGTTACGGGCATTTCTTCTATTCACGACTCAGTAAAGCACATCTCTGCCCATTTTCTCCTCGCCTGTTCCCTCGAGGCTTCGGTCAAAACTAACTCGACTTTTGTCTTCCCCTAGGGGACGGGAGGGAATCCGAGCCTCGGCAACTTTCCGCTGTTTCCGCAGGTCTGCCGTTCTGATGAGCTAAACAATTGCCAGTTTCGCATTGGAGACCGCAAAGTTCACTACAGGGCGAGCTCGGTAGTTGCCGAGCCGGGGCTCTTTGGCATCGAGCTTGCGTCTGGTGTCCGAGTGAACATGACTGTCAGCGAACATGCCAGTCTGATGAAATTCACGTTTCCAAAGTCAAAGGGGAGCCACCCGTTAATCCTGCTCGACCTCACAGACCTGTGGCAGAGCCGGCAGAATGCCAGTATCCTCGTGGACGAGAAATCTGGCCGAATGGTTGGAAACGGCACCTTCTTGCCCAGTTTTGGCGCCGGCTCGTACCAGCTTCACTTTTGCGTGGACTTCGCCGGGGCAAAAATCCATGACACGGGCGTATGGATCAACAACAGGGCGGGAACGGAGCCAAAACAAATGTACATCACCCGTGGCTTCAACCTCTTCTACCTGGAGGGTGGTGGCTTTGCTAGATTTAGTCCAGGGCCCGACAACACAGTTACAGCAAGGGTTGGGCTCAGCTTCAAAAGCTCGGAGCAGGCGTGCGGCAGTGCAGAGAGGGAGATTCCGAATCCCCTCCAAGATTTTGACCGTCTCGTAAAGACTGCCAAGGATGCATGGCGAGAGAAGCTGAGTCCGATATCTGTCAAGCCCGGCGGCGCGGACAAGAATCTGTTGACGAGCTTCTGGAGCGGTGCCTATCGGAGCTTTATTAGTCCCCAGAACTATAGCGGCGAGAATCCTCACTGGGATACCGGGAGGCCTTACTTTGATTCATTCTACTGGTAAGAGGCTGTCTCTCTGGGTTACCAGCACTGCGCTTGGCAAAAACTATTGTCTGTTTCTTTGACAAACTAACTGAACGTTTCGCACAGCATTTGGGACAGCTTCCGAGCTCAGCACCCTCTCCTCACAATCCTGGATCCAATTGCGCAGACACAAATGGTTCAGTCCTTGTTGGATATGTACAAGCACGAGGGATGGCTGCCTGACTGCCACATGTCCATGTGCAAGGGGTGGACTCAGGGAGGTTCCAATGCCGACGTCGTTCTCGTGGACGCCTATGCCAAGAACCTCAGCAGTGACATTGATTGGGAGCTCGCCCTCGAGGCCGTTGTTACCGACGCGGAGGATGAGCCCCTGGAGTGGTCGTATCACGGCCGCGGCGGCCTGCAGAGCTGGCGCAAGTACAAGTACATCCCGTACTTGGATTTCGACCCTCTGGGCTTTGGAACCAACTCCCGGAGCGTGTCGCGCACTCTTGAGTATTCGTACAACGACTTTTGCCTGGCTACGCTTGCGGGAGGATTAGGCAAACATGATATGCGAGAAAAGTATATGCACCGCAGCATGAATTGGCAGAACCTGTGGAAGGAGGACCAGACCTCCGTCATCAAAGGCAAAGATACCGGGTTCAAGGGCTTCTTCCAGCCCAAATACATGAATGGCACGTGGGGATTTCAGGACCCAATAGCTTGTTCAGCCCTTGGTAGCTTCTGCTCGCTGACGTCAAACCCAAGTGAGACGTTTGAGGCCAGTATCTGGCAATACCTGTTGTAAGTTGAAGGGCCATGCTACAAAAGAAAAAAACTAAAAAGTAATATATCGCGTCTCCAGCTACGTTCCGCACGCCACCTCCTCTCTCATCTCACTGCTCGGCGGCGACGATGCGTTCATCTCCCGCCTAAACTTTTTCCATGAGAGCGGCTTGGCGGATATTTCCAACGAGCCCGTCTTCCTCACGGTTTTCCTTTACCACTATGCTGGCCGCCCTGGCCTGTCTGCGAAAAGGGCTCACCAATACATCCCGTCGTCGTTCAATAACACCAACGGCGGGCTTCCGGGCAACGATGATTCCGGGGCCATGGGCTCCTTCTTGTTCTTCTCCGTCATTGGACTGTTCCCTGTGGCCGGCCAGAACGTGTACCTCATCAACGCTCCGTTCTTGGAGGAAGTCAGCGTGAAGAGTCCCGTGACGGGGAAGAGAGCGACGATCCGCGCCCTCAACTTCGACTCTGCATACAAGAATGTCTATGTCCAGAAGGCGACGGTGAATGGCAAACCTTGGACAAGGTCGTGGATTGGGCATGAGCTCTTTACGGAGGGGTGGACGCTCGAGCTGACGCTGAGCAACACGGAGTCGGACTGGGGGAAGAAGGCCGCTGATCGGCCGCCGAGCTGGACAAGTTGAGAGATGGCAATGGTTGGTCGCTGGCAAATCTGATGGGCAGGCTAGATACCTTCAATGTACCCATGTTCATGTTGGAGTGCTTCTCTATGTGTACTGCTCATTCTTCATCTTGAATCAGCACATTCACAACCTCCTGATACTCCTCCTCATCGCCACCATCATCATTCTAATCGGTAAATATCTCAATCCTTCCAGCACTCGATACGGGCATTGAAAATGAGGGTGCGTACACATTAGACCCAATGGCTGCAGCCTCAAGTCTCCTCAAACACATACTCCTTACAAAGAAAATCCGGTCTATAGCCCGCCACTGTCGCCCTACTGTATTTTATAACTACCACCCTACAGTCCACCGCCCCTGAGCCCTCTTAATGCAAAACATCCGCCAAGAGAAATACCTGTATATAGAGGTGAAGTTCCCCATCATAGAGCAGCAGTACCATCGGATATCTAATCCAGTCCTCACGACGAATTACAACACCGACTGTCGATACTTGTATCATGCTTGTAATTTCATTTTACTACAGAGCGAAACAATCCAAACCTTAACAACACCGACTGTCACCAGTAAACCAGCGCCCAAGCCAGATAAACCAAGCACAACGTCAACGCCGCGCCTCTCTTCCCCCGATGCCCAAAAGAACCCACGTTCCACGCCAACACAGCAACATGTCATGCACAGTAGCGGGAGACGATTCCATCTGCCAGAACATAAAATTGGTAGAGCACAAAAAAAAGGGGTATATTGCTCTACCAACAAACCGTAAACGCCACGCCATGCCCAAACCAAACCAAACGCACAAATCAGTCAGAATCATATTCCACCAATGCAGAAGCACTCCTCGCATCCTTGTCAGGCGAGGGATTCCTGTCCTCGTCATCGGTCCTCTTCCTCTTGACGCCCTGGATCCGCGCCGTCTTGACGCCGTCCTTCTTTTGTAAGAAGGGATCCTTTGCCCAACGCGTATTGTTCATAATGTCAGCGACAAAGCTACTTTTGTTCCTCGCAGCGTCCCTGTCGCCCGTTCCGTTTCCGTCACCACCAGCCGTCTGAAACAACGGCCTCGCCAGCGCCCTCTGCGCGGCTTGCCCATCCTCCCCCGGGCCAAAGTCGATCAGGGCAGCCCTCGTGGCGTCGTGCTCCGTCGCGGGGACAAGGTCGATGCCCAGGCTCATCCTGTCCTTGAGGTCCTCGGCCCGCTCGGCCTCTCGCTCCCTCTCCTTGCGGCCGGCGCGAAACGCCCTCCGCAGCTTCTGGTTCTGCGCGTACGGGTCGTCCCAGAACTTGGCCTGGGCGTCGAGCAGCCCGTCGATCCTCTGGGTGGCCGCCTTCAGCCTCTCCCTGTCCTCGATGGTCTTTTCCAGGCTCGCAAAGGCGTTCTTGCGCAGGGCCTCGCGCTCCTGGTCGGTCATGATGGCCAGGGCCTCGTCGCCTTCGCGCGGGCCCTTGTCCTCGCCTGTGTCTCGCTTCGTGGCCCCCTCCACGACGACGTAGGCGGTGTTCTTGGGGTCGGTCCGCATCTCGATGGTCCCGCCGCACGCGGCGTGGCGGAAGCGGAAGCTCCATATGGGAGAGGAGTAGTAGGCGCCTGCTTTTTTCTTTTCGGCGTTGAAGCGCACGCCTTGGGCGATGATGGTTGGTTTGGGGCACGAGGTGCACCAGATGGGGAAGGGCATTTCGAAGCGCACCGTGAGGATGCCGTGGGAGGCGAGTTTGGATGCGCGCTGGCCGAGGCCGTGTTTCTTATGGAGTTTGTTGGCTGAGGTTGTGCCTTCGAGGTCTGGCGGGACGTAGCGTCCCATGTTGAAGCCCTGCATGGTGGGCAGATTTGGTGAGATTTCAAGGGTTGAAGAGGAGTTGGATTGATGTGAAGGATGAAAGTGACGACGACGAGTGACGACAGCGACGGAGGTTGGGTGGCGGAGACATGGGCGATGGCGCTACCCTATACCTTTGGGCACATTGGATATGACCAGATCCTGTCGCGGGGACCAAGTTGCCAGTCAATTCTGCAGAAGTGCAAGAACTTATTAGATGCTTGCACTGAATAGAACAGATGATTCGAACCACTACAAGAGCCCTGTCCTGTTAACTCGAAACCTTTTCCATTTTGTTTTAAGAACTTAAAATAATCTCCATGGCCGCCCTCAAGATGCGACAACAAACTATGTCCCTTGATTCAGTCTAGACTCTGTTGAATTGGAATGCTTCCTCAATGACTACTCTAATCTCGTTTTACTACATCCCTTGCTCTCGCAACGCTCTCTAGACTATAACTTTTAACTTATTATTATATCTGCTACAAGTCCTGACACCAGGTTATGCGGACAGTAACATTATTATCACGACCCAAATACACAATAGCTCGAAGACGGGCTAGAGGGAGAGGAAGCTGGTGTCACACGGGATTACACGAGGGCAATGATCATGGGACATAGGACAGAAGACCCTCACCAACTTTTTATATTTAAAGAGCTTTTAGTTGACTAGCCCTTGAGGAAAACCAAGGACCTTTGATACCAAAGACTGTTATTAGATGAGTTGAATTATCCCTCAGCGATGAGCATAAACTAAGTCACAGTGTTTTTTTTTGCCTAGCTCCTCGGTGTTTCACCATCTGGCTGGCGTGTTTAACGCATCACGATGCGTGTACTCGGCGTTATTCTCACTGCTGGTCACAGTCCCAGAGCCTGGTACGGCTCACATGCAGTGTTACTAGTGGGCTCGCATGACCATCTAGCCTTTTTTTTTTTTTTTTAAATGATTTCATGAATTGAATTATTGCCATATCATGAAACGGCCTTCATTGTGAATCAACCGTGTGACAATTATTGTCTAGGTTCTTAGGGGCGATGGGCGGGATAGAAGTAGAAGTCGGCACACTTGGCACCATCCAGTATAGATTCGTTGAAAAACGAAACTGCTCAGGGGCTGCCGTATAGGGATAGACGTAAAAGTCGTCGTCGTGGGCGGCGGTCCTATTGTATTTGTAGTTTAGGGCGGTAATTTTGGCCATACTATATCCCGAATAAATGCTATAGCAGCAGCAGTATTGTTGTCTAGGTTCTCCCAATTTTCATCTGAGAAGGCCTCGTTGAACGATAATTTCCTGGGAGTCTGAATCGTCTCAGCTGCAGGGGCGGCGGGTGGGATAGGCGTAGAAGTCGGCATACTTGGCATCATCCAGTATGGATTTGTTGAAAAACGAAACTGCTCGGGGGCTACGATACGAGGATTGTATCTTGCGAGCAACTGATCGTCTGTGAAAAGACGCCCGGCATCTTCAGACATATCATGTAGCTGCAGACGTCTGTTCCAAATAATGCGATCTTTCAGCGAGGACCGATCCCATTCTGGTGTTGTTAAAAGACGTAATTCCTTTTTCTGAAAGAGTTGCGACATCCTGACTCCAAGTGAATTTCCGAGCAGGAAATATTGGAACTACGCCACGTGCACTGAAAACGTGAAAAAAAGCCCGAACGACAAATCAAGATATCTGAATACCAAATACAGATGGTTTAAGAATTTGGCGCTAAAAGAGCAACGTTTTGTGGTAATCGTGATGTAAAATGCTAAACGTTCTGGTAAAGCGTTAGAGAGAGGAAGGAAGAAAGTAAAAATGAATAAACAGTTTCTATTTACAAGTCAAATACCAGAAGTTTTGGCAGCTGTCAATCCGTCGCCGCCGTCCTGCCAGTCCGTTAAAGCTGTTTTTACGTGTACACGCCAAGAATCAGGCAATCCTAGTACAAGGAATTTAAAAGCGCCTGCGCGCGAAGGCCTGTACTTTAAACTATATTCTATTTAGAGTGTATACTATTTGCTTACAAGGTAGATAAATACCCATTCTGCGCATCGTAGCACTTAATTCGCAACGGCATGATTGTCAGGACATTTCCGACCATAAGTTGTTTATCAAGATGCTACATTGTTCGGTATAAATAGAGTAGCTCGTTTAGTGATGTGATTAACCTCACGGCAGAGCAAAGAGGGACCAAATGACAATCACACAAGAGCTCAAGTGCATCAAATACCATCAATAGCAAGAGCTAGCTAAGAAGGGTGTGATAAAGGATGAAGATCCTAGAGGGGTAGTGAACAGACCGCCTACCATAATATGTAGAGAAGCGTTCCATGTAATTCAGGGATAGCACGGCGATGCGGTTGAATAAAAAATGCAAAACTCTTTTGTTGGATAACAATGAAATTGTGGTGGAAGTGACGCCATACCGTCACGGGTAATGGTCAGCCGCCTCTCAAACAAGACTTCTCCGACAGGCACGGGCCACTCGATGAAAGCAGGTCGGCATGTCGCCCAGTCGAAATAGATATCGCGCAGGTCTTTGTCTACGCTGTGTAAGTGGTGGCGGACTGTTCTTCCCCGAGACGCGTCTGAAGCTTTGCGCCTTTTTGGGGTTCAACACTGTTCGTCAAGATGGTGAGGAAGGGTTGGTACTATATTGGGGAACTTGAATCCTCTATTATTATTAGAATACCTCCATCAAGTTTCCGCTGGCTGTCTAAGGACCGTGTCACGGATGTCAGTTCCAAGTTTGCGCACCCATATCTAACCCCTGCGGCGTTTGATAGTATGCAATAGTAGGCACCAAGATCTGCTGCTCGGTTACTTTGTCCGTGAAACATGAAGTAATGGAAGATGAAGGGTATCCAAGAAGCTACACCACCTTTTCAAGATGACAGAAGATTCTCTCTTTCCGTATTGGCAACCGTGAGTGGTCTCGTGCCGGATGTCACGATGAGAGCAGAGATTCGGAGGATATTTCTCAAATCATCAAGGACCATTAAGATGACTATGTGAGCTGTTCATAGATCTTATACTGCACTAGAGCCTCTATCAATATTTCTGCTTTGCCCCGTCTCCCAATTATACTAGTATGCCGCGGTATTTTAAAATCGTAGCCCGAGATAGCCAAGTACACGCTAATATGCTATAAATTACCATAGCATATTATGTGACAGCCAAGTATCTAGACGTATTCTAATGTACTACAATATACCGTAGTACAGTGCTTGGTAGCCAGGCGCCTTGTTCGATAGAATGCTTTTTACCCTATGCCTATATAATAGAAGAATACTGTGTACTCCAAATGCCTGGCGACATCCCAAAGTTGGCGATGCGGCTGTTGGCCTCCCACAATGGAATACATCCTGCAATGACCTCGAAATGGAAATCCATGGTCCAAGTACTGCTCGTTACACGGCCGCGTGTAGTGATTTGGGTACGGGTAGCTGCACCATCTCTTTGATTGCTGCCATTTTGTGCATGCACAACCCGCCTTGCATGGATGTCACGTTATATTTGTACAACGGCTCACCCTGTTGACACCGTCGTCAGTCTCCTTCATTTGATGGTGTGATATTCCTTGCGGGCAGTGTATAATGATCGCCTAAAATATGGCAAAGAACCACGAAACGACGAGTATATCAACTAATATTATGCTCCTGTTGCTCACTCTTAGCCATCTCCATGATTATTATAAGCTAATAGACAGTGACTCACACGTGTTGATGGTGAAATCCATCAAATGACCTGGCAGGCTCGAGAAACCAGTGGGAGTGTGCCATGGCAAATCCCTCAGACCCTTCTAGACTGTATTGTGGCCGTAAATATGTGTATTAATGGGTAGTTAGTTTGTCGTGAGAATAGGTAGCAAGACACTACGGCATGTTCCACGATAGCTGCCTTCTTTGCCCCCCAACACACGTTCAGACGTCATGGACTTACCAAGCTTGGTGTGACGAAATAATGGTTCGTTACAGTACGAAGCTCCTCCGTCAAAGACTGACGACTTTGCGTGTTGCAAAAAGGGTTTGGTCCCTGCACACGTGGACGTGTTGGCATGGTAAATTTAGAACAGCGGAGCGGCAGACGATAATGTGGCTCAACTAGCGCAACGTAGTCAACTTTTGACTTGTCAATGTGTCTGCCATGTCGGAGAAAATGGCTGCAAAGAGCCCACTTAGCAGACTTCAGCACAGGACTAGCCAGTTTGCCAGCTAGCGCACGTCAAGGCACCATCGTAGATCTCAAAAGAGTATACCGCCACCGACAATGGCAAGTTTCGAGCCGCTGCAACCTCGTTACTCGTTAGACTCGGTAGGGGCCGTTTTTGTGCCTTTGTTCAAATAAGGTCAGGCCGGCAACACGATTGCTGGCCTCATGCGGCAGTCGCCGAGAAGGAGGGACAAAGCAAGTCGTATTACGGACTAGGCAAGAGAACAAAAAATCGACTGAACCACATGATGGAGGAATTGATCGATCCTCTCAGCACAGCCCCACCAGTCATGGTCCGGAGCCTGAATACGAATCTGCCTGAGGAGCACTGTGCGTTGCATACCAGACGTACTACCAAAGTGGTGGGATGCCGGTGTGCCGCGCATTGCTGGGCGTAGCGGTTGGCTGGCGTCGTGGGCAATTTATTCGCATGGTGTGTGCGCCTGCCATTTTGCCCCTGCAGATGATAAGGCCTTGGCTCACGGCGTGGAAATTTGTCGACTGGGTTGACAACAAATTGCGAATTCCAAAGCTTTGTGCCCACGACGAGGTGTTCAGGTGCCGTCGCCCAAAGATGCGGTCGATATTATCAGACAGATAGAAATTCACAACGTAGACGGCGCATTGGGGGCTGGCTGAAGAAATGCACTAGTTAATGCTCCTGTTTCAGCCGTCAGCACTGTGTCGACGACAATTCCCTCACTGCTCAGAATGTGGCCGGCCATTTCGTCAGCATCCATCCTGAGTGAGGATTGATGACAGAGCCCTACTATTCCAACAGTGCACAAGATCCGTGCTGATGTGCGCACTGAAGCGTTTGACAGCCTGCAGGTCTCTGTACGACACGTTACCCCAGATGCTGAGGTATCATTGTGCTCGGTGTCACCACAGGCTGCACCGAGCGATTGACATCTTGGTCGTACCTGTCGAGACGATCTGACCCTCTTTAGCTCTTTAGCCAATTGACTGATAAAGTTGGATGTCGGCTCAGTGTTGTGTCTTGTGGCTGGGCTGGCACTGGCCATTCATCGTTCTCAAATGACTGTTCACGTAACCAAGAGCAACCCGATAGGCAAAAGGAGTAGCAGGAATACGGAGTGGTCGCAGAGTAAGATGAAGCGGGCGGGGGGTCGACCAGGTCGGGCGAGGAGGGTCCTTGGTTCCTCGGTTCCAAACTCCAAAGGGAAGGAGGGGGGAGGTCATTCAAGGGAAAGAGCCGCGTCAACCAGGGGCAGCGCTAGGGAAGTGACGACCTTGTTGCGCCGGAAACGGCACTGTCTGGCACTGTCTGGCTCTTGCCGAGTCTGCGCGAGGCGCGCACAACAATGGCCGATGGCCCCCACTCCGCCACCGGTCCGCACCGTCTCTATTCAACGTCCCGCACCGTTTGATGTCCGTTGATTGTCCATCTGCCCCCCAAGTTCCCTTCAAACCATGTTCCGTAAGCGATGTTGATCGACTGGCCAGGCCCCAACCTCGTTCTCTGGAGACTGAGGAGGCGTATGGAGTACAGTGTCTTTTTGCGGCGTCCCATGCCGTGCCGACCGCCCCGTTCACCATCTCTGACTAGTAGTAATTAGGCTGTAGAGGACGGACGAAGTTGTGACTTTAATTAACCCTGACTTCACGGCCCGTATTGCGCGGCTTGTACTCCGTAGCTCGTAGCTCTTAGCTCGTTGGTCGTTGGTCGTGCCCAGCATTGTGCTGGCATGGGCCGTTGCCCGAAATAAACACGAGAGCGGCCGGGTGATTCCATCCGCAGCCAGGACAAGACAGGCGTCATCTCCAGAGCCCGCGACGGTAAGGCTGGCTGCTATCAGTTTGCGGCTCTGACCCCTTGTGACCCTGCCCTTTCGTAAAACGTGGGCCCTGCAATGGGCAGGGGTGGCTGGGGCGGATCCAGAAACGCCATCAATGGAGCTTCAAGTGTCATGCCAGGATGGGCTTGGCTGCCTTCTAGGCGTGTCAATGTCTCATATCTCGAGAGTGGCGCTAGGGCCCTGTTGTCAGGCGCAGGCTCAGATTGGCCATGGCGTTGCCGAGAGAAGCAAAACGCCAGGGATCCACGACGTGTGGAAGGCTTGGCTGATTGACCCAGGTTGGATGGACGGATCCAGATGCCGTTGGTGTTATTGGTTCCTAGATTGTTCCCAGATGGCCAGGCAGTCTCATCCTCCAGAAAGCAATAAAGCACCACTCAGCCTCCCCTCGTGCCTGCTTTGTCGAGTCGTTGTCCTCCCTGTTCTTTACATCACTAAAGCTGATTCTCTTTGACTGGCACTAGGCGTGTCATTCTTGTCTTATCAACTTTCTCGTCTTTCGCTAACGAGCTCACTCGCTTTCGTTGTTATATTGTCCTTGACATATCCCGCTCGTCGTGTTCCTTTTTACACGAAAAAACCGAGCCTCAATTTATACTAATCGTCACCATCCTGCGACAACCACCATCCCCAGTCAACATGTTCTTCAAATCTGTGTCCATCGCAACCCTTACTTTGGCAACTGTTGCCAAAGGGCAAACTTTTACGAAGTGTTCTCCATTGGTTAAAGGTACAGCGTTGATCCTGAACAGTTCCGTTACATATTGAGTTGAGTTAGAGTTGTTGTGCTGACAAAAATCCAGAGTGTCCTGCTGACCCTGCATTTGGCGGCAAGTCCGATTGCGACTTCACCAAGGGAGCCTGTTCCATCTTCTCGGAAGCCGAAGGTACCAAGCTTTCGTACAAGGATAATGGCGCCGTCTTTACCATCCAGACCGAGACCAACGCTCCCACCATTGAGACTGGCAAGTACATCTTCTTCGGCCGTGTCGATGTAGTTATGCAGGCAGCTCCCGGAGCCGGTATTATTACCTCGGCTGTCTTGCAGTCTGATGATCTCGATGAGGTAAGTTCTCATTGCCAGGCTGAAAATTGGTTGATTGTTGTGTGAAAAGTGCTAACATGAGGCTCTCACTTACAAGATTGATTGGGAATTTGTCGGCTCCGACAACGCCCAGGTCCAGACCAACTACTTCAGCAAGGGAGACACTACCACCTACGACCGCGGCAAGTACCACCCCATTGGTAATCCCACTGGTTCCTTCCACACGTACACCGTCGAGTGGACTTCCAAGCAGGTCAACTGGATGATCGACGGCCAGAGCGTCCGAGTGCTCGATGCCGCCACTGTCGGCGACAAGTTCCCCCAGACTCCCATGCAGATCAAGCTCGGAACCTGGTGCGCTGGTGGCAAGAACTCTCCTGAGGGCACTCGTCAGTGGGCTGGCGGCTTCACCGACTTCTCCAAGGCTCCCTTCGACGCCTATTACAAGAGCATCTCCATTGTCGACTACGCCGGCAAGGACAGCCCCGCCAACGGTGGCATCAAGGAGTACATCTACGGTGACAAGTCGGGCAGCTGGGAGAGCATCAAAGTCATCAAGGGTGACAGCAGCAAGGACCCTTCTCCCTCCGCCTCTGGCTCTGCTTCCGCTTCCGCTTCTGCTTCTGCTTCCGCCCCTGCCTCTGCCTCTGGCTCCTCCAAGGCTTCTGCTACCCAGACCGAGACCGATTCCAGCAAGCCTTCCACCACCAAGGCCCCCGAGTCCAAGACGTCTTCGGCCAACTCCACCATCACCACCGTCTCCCGCTCTGCCTCGGCTTCCTCCAACTCTACGGCCAGCGCTACGCTCACCAGCTCGAGGGGCTCGGCCACCTCTGCTCCCACCACCGTCCCTACCACCGCCGTTCCTGGTGCCGCTCCTCGCAGTGCTGCTGCCATTGGTGGTTCTCTCCTGGTTGGTGCTGGCATTGCCATGGCCCAGCTATTCCTGTAAATGTGCCGAAAGGATCAATTGCTTTGATTTTTTTTTTTAAAAAAAAAGATCCAACTCTTCTATTCTGGTTGTACAGTTTCTTGGTCATGAGATGCAGCATGTAGTATGAAGCACAGTGGATATACCGCTCGGTACACGGAGAGCAGACCATCTAATTTTTACAATTCGACTCGAATTTTCTTATTTATTTACAAAGAGACCATTCCTGGCACACAACTTGGCTCTTGGCTATGAAGACTTCACGCTGGTGTTTGGTTTTGATGTGGAGATTTGCTTTGACCCCCTTTCGACGAGGAATTTTCTGATCTTTTTTTGCGATTTTTATTTTGGACTGCCTAGCCGAATAGATAGATATAATGGGCAGGGTGTCTTTGAGAGGCGGCTAATGCGACGACTCACGAAGACGGGTGTGCTTGTGGATATTTGATTTACATGGATACCTAGCGGGCGGGATTGGAAGGCCCAGTTTGATTTGCACTTGGTAGACAGCTTTAGATTATCATCGATCGTCTTTACACGCATACATAAAATAAATAAAGCGTCCTTCTTCTTTTTATTTCAGCGTCTTTTTTTTTCGTTTTCGAGTCAATACTTCCACGTACAGCCTGCCTTGAGACATTATCCTCGTCGACGGTCAGTCTCATCATACTCGAGTGCATTGAACAATTGTTTCAGGGACACGACAAAGGGCAACACCGCAGCCAACCAAGACGCATCCCCGACCAACAGCAATGTCGGTCATGCCCCTAACAGGAAATTGGGCCCAAGAATGCATTGTCTCGCAACCCCTGCTTTCTCTCCTGCTTTCCCCCTCGTCGCTACCCAGTGCACCCCTGTTCTATGTGGCCATATCGGCGAACCGGATTTCATCGATCGATCGAAAAATTCTCGTCTGCTAGCTTTTTAGTCATCAAACCTGTTTTCATTGCTGGCCCAGGTATCGCTTATTGCCCAATCTTCAATACCTCCTGCACAACCCTCAACACCCGGTCGTGAACGCCCAACGGAGCAGCCACAACACCCTTGTTGTTCGCCAACGTCCGACCGACACTGAAATCCAATCTCTTTCCGTAAATATCCGTAACTTGGCCACCTGACTCCCTCACAATCAAGTCACCAGCCGCGTGGTCCCAGATCTTCTCTTGGTAGCTAGCCTTCACTGGCAGACGGAGATAAATATCCCCCGCACCACGGGCAATGGAGCCGTATTTAGCTTGGCTGTCCATTCTGACCGACGGCTCTGTGATGCCCAACTTCTGCGAGATGATGGCCTGATCATCATGCGAGGAGTGTCCCGCCTCGACGGATTCGCAAAAGGTGGCCTTTGCGAGGTCCTCGATGGGACGCATGCCAATGTGTCTGCTGTCCGGGGAGAGACTGCCAGCCGTTAAGGGCCGGCTACTGGCTCCCTTGTACTCGACCGCGGAGAAGATGACCCCTCGTCCTTCATCGGTGGCGTTGGATCCAATGTCTGTTGTCAAACGAGCCGAATCGTCCACAGGCAAGTTGGGGCAACCGAGTACTCCGACTCTAACTTCCCCGTCGACCATCAATCCCAAGCACACAGCATACTGACCACCTCGTAAAAACCCCTTAGTCCCATCAATAGGGTCAATGGTCCAGATGCGACCCTTGGAACCACCCGGGCTGTTTCCAAGATCAATTAGTTCCAGCATAGAATCGACGCTCTGGATAGCTCCACCGAGCGTCTGCTCAGCCTTTTCATCGTCCAACTTGGTATCCTTGACTAGATCCCAAATCGTCTGACGCAGGTTGGCATCCTCTTTCAGCTGTGCGGCCTCCTCCTCGGCAACGATGGCATCGCCAGGGAAGTTGTGCTTCAGGGCAGCAATAATGAGTGCCTGGGCGCCGAAGTCGCCAATAGTCACGGGAGACTTGTCGTTCTTGTCGACGGTGCCCTTGGCCTTTTCGTGGAAGACACGCTTGGTGAGGATGGTGGCTCGCTGGACGGCGAGCTGCGCGACTTCGAGCTCGTGGCTGTAGGGCGGGGCGGTCACCATTGTGGCAGTTGGGAGGTGGATTCGACGGAGGAGATGACTGGAGAGCTGGCGGAGGCGGGGGACGGCAGAGTTTGTGAGACTGTGAGGGATGAGGAGCGCCAGCGCGAGGAACAGGATGGCGAAGGCCAAGAGGATAAGGGTATGAGATGATGTAGGAATACGGTGGGGTGAAGAAGTTGCTGTTTTCGGACGAGGGTGAAGGCTGGGCTGCATGTATATGCGCAGGATGAAGAGATTTTGGTACGTGAGAGTGTCGACTGTGTAGGTTTTAGCTGCCCAAGTGAATGGCAGACGTGGGGTGAGCAAGGGTCTGGTGCCGGAATGCCCCGTGAGGAGAATGTCCAGTGGGCCAGATGCAGGTACCAGAGTAACCAGACAGGCGCTTGCATTTGTACGGACATGCTCTGCTCGCCGTGCATGCATGTGTCAACATTGAGTAGTAGAGCTAGCTGGAATGCTGTTACCATACCAAAAATTGGTACGTTATCTGCAGCGTATACTTAAGTAATACTACCGTGCCATATTTTAGTACGGTGCCGATACCGTGCCGGCTGGGTGCCGGCAAGGTTACATATTAGTGCTAAAAAGGTGCCAAAGGCCGCCATACACGCTAAAAAAAAACACACCTATTACCGCACATCACCAATTACATAATATTAAATAAAGGAATTTTATAGGGCATTTTTACAAGGCATAAAAAAGGGTATTTACAGGGATTAAATACATGGCTTCATAGATCATAAATTAAGTATTACATATAACTACTACAACAGTCACAATTAATTAACCAACGTGCTTATTTTTTATTATATGGAAGGTGCCGGCCTTAAATTTACGGGCACCTTTGGCACCTCGCGGCACCTCACGGCACCTCACGGCACTAGCTTTTAGGGCCTTTTGGCACCTTTTGGCACCTCTGTTACGGTGCCGGCACCGCTACAGGCCCCCATAGAGCCCCACTACACTGGTAATTTCACCTGCACGGGGTTGTTTGGACGCACATTCTTGTTCTGGCATGATGTTGGCTCGGCATTGTGGGCTGGGCCTGTTATATTAATTTTTTTTAAAAAAAAAATTTTTTGTGAAACACATTGTCCGTTGGCCTCAGGTGAAGGTACGATTTCGCTTCAACGAAATGCATTGACATGTTGGGGACGGGCGAGGCGGGAAACGATCGTGCAGTTCCCGGGTTTGCTGCCCCCCCCCCCCGGCCCCCGTGAATGACTGCGCCACCATATGATATCTGTGCGCAGAAAATCTACCGAAAGGCAGCCCAGGTACGTAGTAGTACTCCGTATGGAGGAGATGGGATGAGTGAGATTGATCTGTAACTGCTCGGATTCTACCGAGGTGGGGGAGGGGGGGCTATGCAGGCCGCGAAAAGTACGAACTGAACAGCGAGATTGATGCTCTCATATCCCTGCGCTAATGACGAGCCATATCTATTAACATTCAAATCGAAAATTTAAAACGATATCGTACGCCTCAACATATGCTGGCGGCCGGGTGGAGAGTTGCCATGGATTTACGAAAACACATGCCAAAAAAAGGTTTGTTGATGTTGGTGGAAACGTTGCCACGGCAAGCAAGTCGAACGTTACAAATGTTAAACAAAGTGTGCTGGGGTTGACGACTCATGGTCGGGATGGTCCTAGAATTCATAGTCTAGTCTTTGAGAAACCATAGGCCTGTATACAGCAATATGCTAGAGTATATTATGGTATCGTGTGTGATAGTCAGCCGTCTGGTCTGTCCATCTATATTTGCTCTCCCCACTGTGAGACATCACTTTCCTAGGGTAGCTTCTCCGTTGATTATGAACAAATATATTTGCGAGCCTGCCTCGGTCGTCACCAACTTTATCGCTAAAGACGAGTCGCGACGCTAGCATGCATGTTTCTGACTTTGGGATTTACCTTATCCTTGCTAAGTTGCGCATATTGGCCCTTTCACACCTTGTAAGGACCTCAACTCAATACACAAACGATATTTTGTTGCATCAAGGTACTTAGGTAACAAGAGTCATGATAGCATACATCAACTGAGCAATGTAAATATGCTTTTCACCTTCACCACGGACTGCACCAATTGTCACTCTCCTAGATAACGCGAGTGACACCAACATCGGTCCATGCCTTGCGGACAATTTCTGCAGCATCTTTGCCAAATTCTTCTTCAGCACAATCCACGGTAACATCGGCAAATTGTGTAAAACTGCATCGAGCCGGAATCTTCCCACTGTTCATAGCCTTCCACCAAATCTGCCCCGCCTTCTCCCACGAGTAGCCCCCAAAGGCAACGGATGCAAGATAGAAGGCCTTGTTCGGAATGCCGGAGAAGATGTGAACTCCTCCTTCGTCCTCGTACGTATTCTTGTAGTCTTTCATATTATCGACCTGAGGATCTTTTCCCTTTTAAAAATGGTTAGGGGATATAAAGGAGTTGAAGATATAATAGAGTATACTTACGAATCGTGGATCGTCGTATGCACTTCCTGGGGCTTTCATGCTGCGGAGGGCCAATCCTTTAACATCAGGCAGGAGACAGCCTTCACCGACCAGCCAGTCGGCCTTTTCAGCAGTCTCGTTCTCCTTCTTTTGTTTGATCATGATGCCAAAGACATCAGAGACGTGTTCATTTAAGGCGCCTGGCTGGTCTTCATAGACGAGAGGGCTGGTGTGCTCCGTGACAGCATGGGTCAACTCATGCCCGATAACATCGATGCAGTTTGTAAAGTTGCTCAAAAACTCTCCCCCATCACCAAAAACCATCACCATTTGTTGCGAGTCCCAGACTGCCATTTCATATTAGTTCATACGCAGGAGGGCAATATAGACGGGGAATCAACCAACAGGCATTTTCGTAGCTCTCGCCAAAGTGAACTGACGAGATGACATCACAATTCTTGTTGTCGATCGATTTCCAGTGGAACTTCTTCCTGTAGAAATCCAAGACGGCACCGACATTGTCATAAGCTTCATTGACAGCATTATCCTTTGTCTTGGGCTGGCCCTCGGCCCTCTTCAACTCCCCAGGCAGCTCTGTTGGTTTGGTTGCGTGTTCAGCATCGTAGACGGCTCGATATGGTGCATCTTTTGGGTCTTTCTTTGGCTTTACCATGGATTGCGATTCTTCTTGGGGTTCGGCTGTGATTCCATTCACAGTTAGCATTCTCTGACCAAAAAGCAGAAACTGCGAGTGAAACCCTAAGAACCTTTGGGTGCCATCAGCGACTGAAAATGCTCCAAGTCTCTTTTGGCACGTTGACGGACGGCCTCGTCAACATCTTCAGCAATGGATAGATGATGCAGCACCGTCTCTGGAATAAAAGGTGCGGGACGAGGAGCAGGAACCTCACCACGAGCACCCCGAGGCTGGCTTAGAGAAGCCAAACGCTTTTTGCGAGCATCAGTTAACTTGGCATGTAATTCCAGCCCATTTTGGGCGGACTTGCGTATCTCTTCTGAATTGTGAGTCGAATTTGCTATTCCCTTGAGCAGGTGAGGCGGCACTATGAAGCAGTTGCAAGACATGATGATAACCTGACAAGTCTCTCGCGAAAGTGTGGACGGAGTAAACGTAGGCAGGTAAAGAGAGTATTAGGACAATTCCGAGGTCCTTCAAATCATATACATACGTGAATGAGTAAAGAACTTCGTGTTTGGGTATGTGGTGGATTTTTTTTTTTCACGTTGTATCACTGCCTCCTGCTCTTGCCTTATGTATTTCGTGCCAACTGTTGCCAATCGGCGGAATAAGCAAGAACTGTTTGGACAGTTGCCTTTACCGTGACTTCCCTAGCTTCAATCCTCACCTGCCTAGTCTGTACGGGTGAACATCTTTGTGCAATACCGCGCGCTGAGCCTTTCATTTGCCATACACAGGTTGTATGTTCCATCGCCTTGGTTCCATCTTGTTAATTAACCACAGCCATGGCTTCTTGTATTTCCCCTCGTTACAAAACTACCTGACGACAGAACAGTTGGAACAAGACTACGAGCATCACTGTCTGAGTCACCACAATATACCTCGCTCTCGCGCTTTCGCCCCTTGGAAAGTTACTTCTCGTTACCCCTCAGTGGCAAACTAACGCTCTTGGACAACAACAGATTCCGTTCGCTATCCTCTGAAATTGTATTGCCGAGGAGTCTTGGTGATGAGAGTGCGACGGTACGCCACAAAATGGTGCGTGTGATGATTTGTAGACGAGACGCCGGGTACATTCGACGCCAGAAGTGTAACAGTATCGAGCAAGCCTTCCCCAGCTACCACCCGATACCCCCTGGGATCTCTGGGATCTTACTCCATGCATCGCTTGCGGCTAGATGGGGTGTTCAAAGGAAAGGCGACTTGTATTTATTATCGTAGCCTGACGATCTTACCTAGATTGTACAAGACTGAAGTTTGTTCTAGGCGCGGGCCGATTCTGTGGCGCCTTGCTTTCCGAAAACGCCTCACTGGAACCAGTATACAATTTCAGGACGGCACTATGAACAATGGAAGTTAATTTTGGGTGCCCAATGTGCAACATCCCTCGCCAGTAACGCTAGGCATGACAAACTCATTGAAGAAACAGTCCACAGAGACATTGTCTTGACTTCGACCTCGTCTTGATGCACCTGCGGTATGAGATCCGAAATATGCGGCTCGTCAGTCAGAAAACACCCGAGCGGTTTCTGAAATCATATTATAAGGTTTGCTAGGCAAGTTACATCATTAAAAAGCGAATTATCGGTCTCTCAGTCAAAACTGATTAATTCACTTTCCTCCTTCAAGCTAGTACGATCTGCGAAGAGCGTTTAGAAAAGCTGCTGTGGCAGATAGATGGTTTCAATTCGTGAGCTTGATATCTGTTCCATCTACCAACATAGCATCAAGCTCGTCGCCGAGTATTCGCCAACATTTTCGAGTATCTTGAGTCTCAGCACGGCCTATGAAAGTTCTCCTTACAGATATTACGGTCAATCCTTCTCCCTCGGAGCGTTCAGATGAAGGATATATATAGCAGCTGGAAGCCACGGCTCAGATCAACTCTTTCAATTCAACACCCTGTAAGCCCCTGCTAGCAGCTACAACAATGGCATCACATGATGTCCTAGGAAGTCTAACTTGATGCCAAAGAAGCATCGTAGTATGGTGGTAGCCGGGTGCAAGTTAAATTATTATCACATAATCTGCTTTAAATTCTACAAAATACAAATACTGCTCATTGTTGCCTTGGCTTGCGGGCCGCTCCTGCCCTCGGGATCGCGCTTGCCTCGTGACAAAGTTGCCCTGTCACTTGCCATTAGACAGTAATTAATCACCGTAACTCAAACTGTCAGACGCTTCATATTGGAATCCTCACATAGAGGAGTGTCAAAGAACAGCATCGAGCGAGGAGCGCAATTATGAACCCCGACGCTGAAACCTATGCAAGCTCGTCGACGCACGCCAACATGAATCGTCACAAGAAAAGTACTCCCGAGCCTCACCCTAGCACACAATCTGTCGGGGCTACAGAACCAGTTCATTCTAGTACCGAAGATATGGAGTCCAACATTCATGAAGTGCAATTAAGATATAAGCTTTCTTCTGTCACTATGAAAGCTCTGTGCAGCATCTCACAAGCTCCGGATCGACGGCAAGTCCTCTATAAGTCATGCCTCGCAAGCGAATTTCGTTCTTTCCCCTTGAAACAAGCCGAAAAAAATCTCTTTCGCGAAATCAACGATCACACGGCGATCCCATATACCATCAAAGAAGCAATTACTCAACCGTGGCACAAGGTCTTCCTCTTAGTTCAGATAGACCTTCTCCGCACTGGATGGCCCAACAAGATATCCGGGGCTGCGAGAAAAGAGCTTTATCAAGAAAGAGGCCGCATCTATGCGCTTCTAGACCGAACCCTACGATGCCTCACGGACATTTTGGGACTAAGAAGGGACGGCAGGGGCGTAAATGTGGTCTTGGACGTTTTGCGGAGTGTTAAGTCTGGTGTGTGGGAAGGGGCTGGCCAAGAACTGCTTTTGGTTGATGGTATTGGTTCTGTGAAAATGGAGAAATTATTTCGAAGTGGCATAAAGAGTATTCACCAATTGGCCCAGACCGATTTCTGCAACATTGAAAGGTTGATGAGCCGCAACCCACCATTCGGTCACAACTTGTTGCAACAGCTCGCTGGGTTCCCCAAGTTGTGTTGCCAGTTCGACATCATCAAAGATTACGCATTAGTTGATAGACTTCCCCGTGGTGACCATCAGCATGATCAACCCGAGATGTCACAATCTCCGCTTTGGGTTTGTCATGTTGTGCTGGCGTACGAGAATGACCAGGTACCACTCTGGAATAAAAACAACCCCTGGGTTACGTTAGTGATGGAAGGCGGCGACGGGAGACTTGTTTGGTTTTGGCGCGGGAGTGTGAATAAGCTTGCGGAACACAAACAACTGATTCTGGGCTTGGAGCTTAAGCGTGGCGAGAAGATTGAACTCAGGTTGGCCTGCGAGGAGATAGTCGGCACAGTGGTTCATTCTTTTCATCAGGTTTCCTGACTCCAAAAGACGCAGGGGTATTTACTCACACACTTCAGACGGACATACGATCTGCAGCAAGCGTTTACGAGATCGTGATGAGATTGACCTTCGACTGATACAAGCAAACGTCAACCACTTTCGGTGCATCAAGACAGGAGGCGAAGGCTGATACAATTTTACTCAAAGACACAGTCTCTTAGATGACCCGGATTCCCTGGCAGACAATGTCAGAATTCAAATCTCTGTCTCTATTTACACCTGCTGACTGGTCAAGACCATGATGATCTTTGCAGCGAGTCTAAATTTAAAAATCAGCAGGCGCTCACAATCTCCAGTGTCCACTCAGACATGAGACGACAAACGCGGTTTGGGATTATACCGCACTTATACACACTGCATTTCCGGGATACCGATAAATAAATAATACTAATTGCCCGATATTATCAACTGGTTTTAGAAAAATGTGAATGGGAGAGCATTGTACAAACCTGGCACATAATTTGCTGTCATCGTTATCTTCCCGATGCTGTTGAACTTCAGGCTGGCTCCTGTGTGTCCCTTCTTTGAGGCTTTTCTTAACAGAATGTGACCAAATATCAGCCGCACTTTGTTCCTGCATATCTCCCCTCAACCGACAATTCATCTTGCGGAGAGAGGATACGCTATCTAGGTGACAAGGGTGGTTCTTAGCCTGTGGCGGCCAGTCATAATGTAATATTCCGCAGATCTGTATTGAGGCTTGCCTGACAAGGCAGCGGAGCAAGCCTTCAGTCCTTGATCCATTCGGGACTCAGTTTGTGGCGTAAGTGATCCGCAAGATCCTGGCTCGGTCAATTGGGCTGAGAATGGCTTCGCTTTGCTAATTGGACTTACTTGTTGTAGGTCAGGGCGTCCTATCGCCAGCGCTGGTGAGCACGATGCTGCGAGAGAATCACTCACGGACCAAGCAGACAGTCATTCAAGGACGCTGGCATATCAAACCTTCTAGGGTCAGGCTCACTTCGTTGTGGCCTAGAAGCCAACATACATATTTCTGCGATGGTCCGTGTTATAATAAGATGGGATGGCCTTTGCTCACCGCTCATCTTCTCCTGTGGCCAACACATTTAACTTGGCGTTTTGTCTTGTTCCGGAAACACAAGTTCTCTCTGTTTCTATCCTCATTTGGTTCTCGCATTTGATTCTCGTCTTTTGTTGTATCCAGCCGAGTTCTTCTCCGACTTGTATCATGATGCTCGCCTCGGCTGTTATTCTCTCCCTGGCTGTGCTCGTTGCTGCCGACAAGGTTCCCTTCGAGTCCATGACCTCACCTATTGGTGATCTCAAGGCCCTCTCTCTCCGAGCTTCTGCTGCGTGCGACACCGGTACTGCTTGCGGTGACAGCTGTATCGACATCGGTGCTCAGTGCTGCTCGCAGTCAGAGGGCACCTTCTGCAGGGTCGGATACGGCTGCCAGAGAGATGGATGCTGTCCCCTTGGACACACCTGCTATGGTCCACCTTCCAACACCTGTGAAGGAGACCGTGTTAAGTGTGGCAAGTCCTGCGCCCCCGGGGGCTCTCAATGCTGCTCCCAGAGCAATGGTATATTCTGCATTGCCGGAACTAGCTGTGTCGGCACCACCCAGTGCAGCGGGCCTCAAAGACCTGCGTCTGGATCCGGCTCGAGCTCGGGCTCTGGTTCTGGCACCACGACCTCTGGCTCTGTGACCGCGACCTCTGATATCTCCGGCGGAGTTACAACGACCCAGGGCAGCAGTGCCACCAGCACATATTCCCTCCGTGTCGCTCCAAGTATCAAGACCTCTGACAGTGGCAGCGGCTCTGCCTCTGGATCCAGTTCTGCCACTGCTTCGGCATCTGGATCTGGATCTGGATCTAGCTCGGGTGACAGTACCCCTACTGCCAGTAGTGCTTCACCTACTGATGACAAAAAGAATCCTTCTCCTTCCCCAACAGGCGTTGGTGCTATCAACAGCCCCAGCATCCTGCTGGGTCTCCTAGCCGCTGTTCTTCTCTTATAAATGGATCGAGCAGATGAGAAACGGGCCAATATCTCTACATCTCGCTCGTTTCGTAGCAATCGACACTACAAACCAACTCACATGACCAAAAGCCACCCTGTCGATTGTTAGTCTACATGCCTAGCCTTTGACAAATTCAAGGGAGGCAAAATACGAGAAATGGAACTGTAACGCCTACGAGGGCGTGTTGACAAGAAAATAAGAAAGGGCACGTTTGTCCGCGGTGCTAAATTAGGACTGACAGGGGACAATCGAAAGAATTATGGAGAGCGGGAAACGCATAGCCATATGGAAGGCGGATGTACTGGCAATCAATATAACTTTAGAATCCCATGAAACTGTGCACTGGTGGATTTCTACGTGATGTACGATTCAGCCATGACTTACACTTGCATACATCGCTGTTAATGGCACCAGCATCTAGAACGCCCAAATCATCATGTATCTGCATACAAAGGCATATATGTGCTAGGTGATTAAATAGCTTTTGGGACTTGAAAAGATATCTGGGCGCGGTGGCCAAAGTTTTTGCTGCAGGACCTAGTGATATCTTTACCATGACAATATTGACCTGTTAGATTTATAAGTCAGTCAAAACTCCGTGACACCGCAACATGCAAATATAAGGTTGTATATTTCAAAAGGGAAGATCATTTCCCGCCTATGAGTACAGTGAATACGCCACCCATCCGCTCCGTTTTGCGGCATGAGACTGTAAAACCCCGGTTTGGTCCTAATCGCGTCCAGCTGGCACGGTCAAAATGTCGAAAACACATAAGAACCCTTTTTCCCTCCCCACTTACTTTACAGTACAGTTGATGAAATACACTATTTCCTGTTCCCGTTTTGAGTGCCTTTGGCTCCAGTATCATGGATGAGTAGCGTGTGTATGTTTGTTGCAAATAGCACATGAGGAAGGATATACTGGATGGCTACATCTGTCAAAGACAATTGTTCAATCATCTTCTGGCAGTTGTTTGATCGAAGCCATCCAGCATGCTCTCCTTCATCGCATCCTTTCTTATGGTCGCAGCTTCTTCTTCTGATCTGGGCTGTTCGATTTCCTTCTTGTCGCCGCGCTCTGTTGAAGCAGATGTATCGATGGCGGTCTTAGCCATAGACTTTGCTTGAGCTTCGCCAACTTTTCCGTACACGCTCAGCCCAGTGGCGATCATGCCACCAATATCACCAACATTGCCAGGGACCACAACAGCAGTACCCTCTTTGGCCAAGTTGCCAAAGGCCTCTACGTACTTCTCAGCCACAGTCAAGCTGATGGCACCCTTGGCGCCTTCCCGGCCCTCGAGAATGGCCTTGGAGACGGCGTCGATACCTTCAGCCGTGGCGCGAGCCTTGAGCAGAATTGCCTCTGCCTCACCATCCGCCTCATTGATGCGTTCTGCACGTAAAGCTTCTGAAGCAAGAATGACACTCTGCTTCTTACCCTCGGCAATATTAATGGCACTCTGGCGCTGGCCCTCGGAGTCGAGAATTTCCGCTCGCTTGGATCGCTCAGCTGTGACCTGTCGGTGCATGGCCTCGACAACGGGTCCAGGGGCGTGGATATCGCGAATTTCGTATCTTAAACATGTAACACCCCATGCCTCGGCGGCATCATTGATAGCGGCAGTGATGTTGGTGTTGAGGGCTGCACGTTCCTTGAGGACGTGGTCAAGAGTAAGCTGACCAATCTCAGACCGCATAGTCGTCTGGGCAAGTTGGGAGATGGCATATTCCGCATCTTCGACGCCATAGCTATGAAAGGGAAGCTCATGTCAGTATGCGCTTTCCTCTTTGCAGTGTTTGACCGCCTCCGAGAACAGCAATTGGTCATAGGCTGCCGTACGGAAGGCCGGCTGGGCGTGAAGGACGAGCTTACCTGGCTTTATAAGCATCGAACACCCGGGTATAGAGTACACCATCGAGTTCAAGAGTCACATTATCGGCAGTAATGGCACTCTGGCTGGGAATCTCAATAGCAGCTTCCTTGAGGCTCTTGACATAGGCAATGCGATCAATGAAGGGTATTAAGACGGCCAAACCTGGTTCAAGGATGCGGTTGAATTTACCCATGCGCTCGACAATCCATGCCGTCTGTTGGGGAACAAAGCGAACAACTGTATTTGCCGGAAGTCGGGGTTTCTGGAAATATGAAGGTAATGGTCCGGCGAAGCTGGCAGGAAGGAGAGTGCGGGTAGACGAGGTAAAAAGGCGGGATTGATGGGAGAGCAATGGGCTCCGGAGAGCAGCTCTTGTCAGATATAGGCTCAGCATGATGGGCTTTTCGCGTACGTCACAGCCGCTTAATGCAGACGACGCCGCTCATGAGCCGAGCTCTGTTGGAGTGGTCGAGAGGTTCGAAATCGGACGGCTCTGGCTCTGACTCTGGCCTGTCGGAACGTCGACTAGAGAAAACGAGACAGCTCTCACTACGATGTAACCGGAACTGCACTCTCAGCGTCTGGTTGCCTGATTACTGGAGGGTATGCGGGCCGAGATTTACCCGTCTCAATAAGAACCCCGGTGTTTGTCTCAAACGGGGCCGACACAACTGCGGTTGTTGGGCTGAACCACGATGGGTTGCGGATTAGTCAGAGCAGGCGCGGGGCGGAGGCTGCCAATATTGAGCCACAGGGAAGGAGCGGCGTGGTGGCTACAAGTTTCCCGCGGCTGAAGGCAGGAGCAAGACAAACTGTGGTGGGCTGTGACGAACATTGAGGAGGTTGAAACTAGAAGTTGCCCCGCGTTCACAGCCATCAATCGATCTACCGGCACCAGGCCACGCAGAACATTACACTACACTCGACTTAGAAGACTCAGGTCCTGAACCAAGCCGATACTCCATCTGTCCAAATCAGCTGCCAACCTGTTGGAACACCCTGCTCGCCGTGCAGTGCTCTCCGCCCTCGGAACATAACTTTCAAGCCCACCTGCATCGTCGTCGGACGACGCTCCTGTCCCGCCAACATGACCGCCAAGGTTCCGCGCAACTTCCGCTTGCTAGAGGAGCTCGAGAAGGGCGAGAAAGGCCTTGGTGCTGAAGCCTGTAGTTATGGCCTCGAAGACAGCGAGGATTTGCTCATGAGCAACTGGAATGGGACCATTTTGGGGCCTCCTCATGTGAGTGATTGTCGAGCTGGAATTCTGCATACGCCGCAAAAGATGGAAGCCCCCGCGTTTGTACCAAGAACAAAACGGATTGCTAGCAGACGAAGAAGCAAACGAAACACGTCATTCTATTCTTGCACCTTGCAAATTGCTTCTACTGAGCCATTTTCTGACTTGTCATGCGCCGCATGTAACAGTCTGTTCACGAGAATCGCATCTACAGCGTCAAAATGCACTGTGGCGACAAGTACCCTGATGCACCTCCTACTATCCAGTTTGTTAGCCAGGTTAATTTGCCTTGTGTTAATCCACGCAACGGCATGGTCGATCCCAATCAGCTCCCCTGCCTCGCCCAGTGGAAACGAGAAAACACCATGGAGACAGTCCTTATCGAGTTAAGAAGGTAAAATATTCCCGCCCTGGCCAGTGTGTGTTACTAAATAGGGATCCCGCTGACACTGCCCAGATATATGGCGGCCCCGATGAACAAAAAAACTCCTCAACCCCCCGAGGGCTCGACCTACTCATGAGCTACACAAGACAAACTGCGTGAAGTGCTGATGATGGATATTTTAGAAGGCAGGAGTAGATAAGCAGCATCACACCAATTACATGGCAAGCAATGGACATGAACGAAATTACAAACGTACGAATTACTAGCCAAAGAACAAGCATTTTTTTCTTTTTTTATACACGTCGTCTTTGACCTGAATTGATTCATTGTATTATGTCTAGCCTTGAATTCACAAGGCCAGTACGGGTGTGGTGAATACATATTCCAGCCTTCATCATGATCAAGTCCAAGGAAGAAGAAGAAAAGAGTCGCTGTATTCATACTTTCTATCATTGTCGCCGTCACCATACCATGATATATGCCGGGCAACGAAGATTGCACCCGGATAAGGTGAAAGATGTCCAATATTTGAGGCTAATACATAGGTGCTCTAAGATTCATGCCGGCACGTTGCCTCGACACTCTGTCCTAGAGAAAACAAAAGAGAAAAGGGGTTGAAAGAATCCCATTTGAAGAAGAAAAGTTGATACCGGATTGGTAAGTGTATATCCATCATTACAGTTGTCATGGCAAAGTTAATCATCATCTCCCCGCCGTCCTGGGGCTCCAGCAGTTGTGAAAAGACTAGGCCCAACTGCGCTTAAGCGCGCCATGTTGCCCAACGTTACTCTTCTCGCGGGAACAGCTGGGAATGCCTCAGGGGAGATGGGGCTGTCAGGGCGGGGAATGTCTTTGTCTCCACTGGGAGTTGCCTCCTTTTCTTGGTTGGGTGCTTGATTTCTGACATTTAGTTCAGAGAAACCGTCGCAGTAGAGGAACGACTGTGATTCTAATTTCGAAGAAGGGAGCACTTGTTTGCCACTTGCTTGACCTCCTTCATGTTCAGGCCAAGATGTAGCTAGCGGAGCATCAGGAGATACGGCATTTGTGGTTGGGGCGGTTGCCGATTCCCAGCCTTGAATATCTGATAAATCTGGGCTTGGTTCAGAATCATCAAAATACAAAGTCACATCTCGTTGACTTTGAGTGCTGTCATTGTCGCGGCTCGGCAAAGACTTGGAGTTCCTTGCGTGTTTTGGAAGTTTCGGCAACGCAAGGGTTGGAGGAGGACCGACAGGGCTTGTAGGAATGGAATCGCTGCGAAGGACTATACCCTCTGTATGAATAGGAGGATGAACGCCAGAGGACTCGAGGCGTCTGGGACTCTGCTCATTGTGTGTATTGGTGTCTTCCTTGAAAGACGGGGGAGCTGGGAATCCGAATTCAAATGTCGAACCGGTGATGGTTGTTTGCGACTCCTTTGCCTGATGTTCCTTCCGATGGCCTTCCTTAGCCAGAGTTTGTGCATCGTCACTCGACATGTCAGATTCCATACCCT